ACCGTAATGAATCTGAACCTCACCACCCGCATTCTAAGCAGTTAGCAAGCACTTGTCAAGTAGTTAGAAAGTAGTTAGAAACTCACGGTATCAAACTCAGGCAACTTGAGGTGCCCGGCTTCGACTTCACGCAAGTACCACACGTACCAGGACTATTTCATTCGAAATTTATCAGTTTTTCATCAAAAAATCACTTTGGAATCACTTTCTTATCATACAAATGATAATAAGCAATAAATAAGACCTTAATAAGCAGTTATACTTACATTTTCGCTCAGTTGAGCCATGGTTGCGGATGTGGGGAAGAAGAGGGAAATGATTGGTGGTGGGAGGTGTGGTGTGTAAGTGTACTGAAAAAGGTGATGTGGAATGAAATTTTCTGTTTGTGTAGGTAACAGGGTCGCTTGGAAGTCACATGATCAAACTGCTTATTAAGCAGTTTTCGTTCCACGCGACCCGAAAAAGCAGCACAGCTGATCTGCAACCACCAGTCATCTACAGGTACAGTCCTTCGTTTTGTACAGCCGAGCTGCAACCATTTTAACCGACATTGAAATTGAAATAAAATTATTACACGTTTTTAATAGTCAAAAGACGCGAAGTTTTCACTGTCTGTCAAAGAGATAGATGCTAAATAGTGGTTATGTGGCCTGTCACACTGCATCGAATGAGAGATTTTGTTCAGTCCACCAGTAGGTGATCATGGTTTGTCCGCCAAGGCACCTAGCATTATTGAGAGCGCTCACTCATCCTGAGTGTACTGTGAAGCATCATAGTACAAATCAAGCAGGCATCCAGCGGACCATGCTTGCGTGGGTGACTATTAGAGATAATATGGTTAGCACGTGATTTTGCTCAAACGGGGAGTGTGTTGGGGCGTACCGAGTCAGCGCAGTGTGCACCATCCTTGTTCGAGAGCTCCGTGAGACCTCTCCACGGGCTTTCTCTTAAAGCCTTTTTGCAGCCTTCCAGTCGCCGAGTAACCTGCTGGTAGGCCTCAGTTCGCTCCTCGCGCGTTGTTCTGCGAGCTAGATCAAAATGCAGGAACGCACGGAGGAAGAATCCGCGCTGCCACACCCATTCCGGACCTTGATGATAGTTTCTACCCTTGGAGGTAGCAAAGTCCTCAGAATCCTCGGAGTTGTTGTAGTATGGTCGGTAATTGAGGTCAGAAGGATCAAGAGTAGCCATGCCGACCGGGCCGACCAGGACCTCATCGGCCAGTGCCAGGGCTGACAGTGCTTTTGAAGGCGTGAACAAATCTGGTGCAACAGTCATGGCAATCGGGAAGTTCGAACGAAGCTGGTAATCTTCGTATGGCTTTCCTGATTTGTAGAGATCCTTGTAGATTCCACGCCGGTTGACCACATTCCGATCAACAACGTAATTGGCATCCTCATCCGGATTAGATGGAACATAGTAGCAGCGCTCGAAATTCTCCTTGATCTTTGCCGCCCATGACTTGAAAGTCACCGACTTTCCTTCCCCAAGATCGACCCCAGAGTGCTGATAAAGTCCCCGCTCGTGTAGCTCCGCTACCCACTTCAATGCACTGTAGACAAGACCTGTGATTTCAATGGCAGCTCCGTCACGCGGCGTTCCAGGGACTCCCTTGTTCTTGGCCTTCTCACTTTCTCCCATCTTATCTTGCCATGTTCCACAGTTGAACTGACTACCACCAAAGATCAGGCCCGTCTCCCAGTCGACCTGGACATTTATATCGAACCCCTCCGGCTTCATCTGTATGTCAAGGTCAGGCCCTGCATTGTATTCTCGGAATGATAAGCCCTGAGCGTGTCGTTGGAACACTTCCTGGATCACTTCAGATATAGTTGAGTGCTTTGAGTAAGCTCGCGGATCGTCGAATGGGAACCACGTATCGTCATAAGGAAGAAACCTTCTGGGCACCTTCTCGTCCAAGAGTTTGATTCCATCGGGTGCCATCACGGTGTAGTCCTGAATAGATTGAAGAAAGAACCAGACCGAATCACGAGAGTTATACCGTGGTAGCCTTCCACTACTGAGTAGATTCGGTATCATTCCGTGTTTGAGGACGCTTGCAAATGCGAATATATGCTCCCTGGCATCATCAAACCGACTAGTGCAGAGTAGAAGACCGCGCAGGGAAATGAAAACATCGCGACCCCAGCATCTTGCCCAATCAACAGCGAAATGCGGCAAGCCAGCTGCGAGACTAGGCACCCTCTTTGTCGGCCATAAGGATGCAGAATTGACATATCCAGTCATTTGCACACTCACCATACCCAGCTGATGGATGAACTCTTGTCCTTTCTGTATATTACCACCGAGGAGCTGAATGCCGCGCTTCCACGCTGCGTTGTAGGCAGTTTGAACTATGATGGCGAAATATCTGGGAAGTAGGAAGCTCGGCAGACTGCGAACAGCCTCAAACTTCTCCCGCAACCAGGCTGCAGGCTTGTGTAGAGCAGAGTATCCTTCTGTCTTAGCAACCTTCTCGAGCCTCCCAACGATGTAGTCCAGCGCCCACTGGCCGTTGCGCAAGTGATCGCAAAGAGGATGACCCAGTTCGTTGTACTTGATGACGTTCTCAAGTACACTCCACCAACCCTGAAGGCCCGCATAGACCAGAGAGCCGTAGTTTGGGATGCTGTATGCCCCATCTTGGCCATTGCTAGAATCTCGCTCCTCTGCTTCGCAGCGATAAAGCACAAAATTAAGATCGACCAAGCTAAGGTTTGCAAAAGCATCGTCTACTCCCTCCGTAATATGAACATCAAGCCCAGACGCATGCTCAGCGCTGGGAATGGAAGTTTCATAGATGGAGATAGATCCGGCAACAAGCGACTCCAGAACTGAGATGACTGTGTCATTGCCGTCCTGTTCGGCCTTTGTGCCTTCGATAGCATAAACTTGGCTGGGTAAGCCCCGAAGGTAGGATTTATCCTCTGACACTTCCTTCCTAGTACTCTCGCTCGAGTCAACCTCCAGCCGCCACGTGCCAATATGCTTTGCTCGAGTACCGACCAGGCGTGTGGGTGCCAATATAGCTTTGCTATCTTGCCCTGGAAACGCGGTGTGGGCGATCAGGAAAACTCCCTTCCGCGTTTTCGGATGTACCCTGTGAACCGTGATGTACTCTCCATCGTGATGAATGTGAGTCTCGTCATAGCCCTCTGAGCCCATGACGGTATGTAGCTCGTTGAGGAGTTTCTTGATGCCACCGATACCTCCTTCGAGCGAGTTCAAATCAACCTTGGAGGACTCCGAGAACTTTGATGAGTACAGACGAGTCTCATGAACAAGGTCGACAAGTTTGGGGTAGATTTCATCGTATCCGATGACGCTTCCTATGGCTGAGGCGCACATAGCTACTAGAGCTGCATTGGGAAGCGTGTCTATCGCAGTCCTCTTCTGGGCCGGCATTTCGTTATCGTGAGTACAATCCATGAAAAGAGCTTGCACAGGATTAGGGCGAATGTGAGAAACCTTCTCCTTCCCACTGTCGATGCCCGACGAAGCTATGGCATGACTACTTCCGGACGAAGGAATGTCAACCCCAAAGCTTCCGATCGGACGGCCTCCATGGCGGTGCACAAGTCGGCTAAGCTCTCCGGTGCTCCAGGCCTGCATTGCCTCGCGAATGAGAGCGTTGATACCAAGTCGCTTGACGAAGATGTAATCCGCCTCTTCCGAGCCAGTAAAAAGTTCTGCGAACACTGTGAGGTTGGGCCGAACTTTTCGTGCCTCATCCAGAAGATATTCTGCCACTACCAACGGCGTAGAATGACAATTATCAATGCGGAAACCCGAGAAATATTTAGCCATGAGACGGGTATATTTGGTCATGAATTCCCAAAGGAAGGGATTATCTTCAGGGGAGGATCCATATCTCAATTTCACACAGTCACCCCAAACAATGACCTCTCGACGGAGATACGATTTGGAAAAAGGCCCAGCATTGTCCCGCAGCGCGTCAGCGTTCCAAATCCAGCCGTTATTGACGAGAGCCAGAGCCTTGCTATCGTGCTTCTTGGTAGTATCGTTCAACGGCAGCCTTGTAAAGTACGTCTCGATAAGTGGGCTTTGCTCCGTGACTGGGCCAAGCTTAGGTCCATGGCTGTCAATCCGAAGGTATTTGACCCGATTGAAGAGCTGGTTCATGATCTCCGCAACATCCAAATCGTATTCCCTGTAGAAAGGAAGATTTACCTCATCGAGTAGTTTTGAGATAGCTTTTTCAGCCGCAGTGGTATCAGAATCCGCGGCATCCGAGGGACCAAGCAGTGCAGTCAGTATCGCTGCTCCAAACTTCGGCTCAATCGCTCTGCTGTACCGGCCAAGAAGTTGCTTTGATGTCGGAATAGCTTTTTCACGGACGAAGGTCGCTTGTTCTTTCAGAGTCCAGCTGCCGAAATCCTTCAGCTTGTGCTGCGACCACTCATCGCTCGTTATGTCAATGCTCTTGGAAGTTTGCCATTGCTGAATGACCTTCTGTGTATCCGCAGCAACATTGACGACGTAAAACTCCCATAGCTTGAGTTTGTGAATGACATGCTCACGAACTGCATTCATGACGGCGACAAGATCGTCCACTGATTTGAAATCAGTCGGCAAACCGAGAGAAGCAAGGTTTTCACCGAATTTCAACAATGCATTGTCCAGCTCCAAGGCGGATTCCAGCCATGGTGCAGTCTGAACGCTGTAGCCAGCTTCTGGATGTTCCTCAAGCCATTTGCTGTTGTTGGCGGTATGATTCCATACAACGTCCGTCAGGGATAAGAGCCCGTGTTTCTCTTCCATCTTCGTGACCAAGTTAGCGACGTCTGCCTCCCCATTGGGAAACACAGCATCATCAAACTGCAATTGGTCAAATATACTGTACGGCGAGTTGGAGTCTCCGCGTTTCATCAAAGGCGTAAAATGGATCATGTTGTAATTGCGCTGGCTAATACCGTTAAGATGCTTATCCCAATCTGTAGGATATTTGCCCAAGAACTTGGAGATGACCGAGTAAATGGAAAGAGCATTGAGTGGCAGATCGCGACCGCGAAGGGTCAGTTTGGGCGAGACGTCAATGTAGTAAGTTGGAGTTCTTGTCGGCTCCGGAGTTGCAGTCTGAGAAACCGAGAACTCAGGAAGCGGAGAGAAGGTCACGTAGAAGGCAAAAGAGCCGGGAGAGGTGATGGGAACGTCGATTTGAATATTCTTGTTGAAGTCCGGAGAGAGTCTACCCACGGTCTCAACAATTGGACTGTCACCAACGCAAAAGATATTCAGTCGTCTTCTTACCTGAAGCTGCGGAAAGCAGACCGATCAAATGGGTGACCATCTTCTGGAATATTTACCCACAGTTGACCTTCCCTGCAAATCGAGCTTGTCCCCTCGATCACGAAGCGGAGAAGGTAGGACGGGTCGGAGGGTGCGGGGAGATAGATGTAGCCTCCCGGAACGTCTGGAGAGCCATCATCCTTGAGAGGCAGCAGATAGACCTGCCGGGGAGAAGACATAGTGTGATCCTAAGCAGATGTATGCGATCCTCCGATTGACCTTGTATGATCACGGTCGGACAAGAGTGTTGCTGTGGTAAAGACCGTGATGAGAGGAGAAACGCGCCTGCTGGAGCCACCGATGTCACTAGGTGGAAAGGATGGGGTAGGTAGAGTAAGGAAAGGGAACAAATGGGGGAAATCAATTGCAAGGTGAGGAGTCGGAGCAGTCGCAGTCGCGCACGAGCAGTGGGCCTTGAGGGGGTTTTTAAATCAATCCAACTCAGGAGAGAAGAGATTGATTGGAGACGCATCCAAGCCTGACCAAGTTTCTCTCATGTTCCTGGATTGCGCCTGAACCCAACCCCCGTGGCTGACTCCTCCTCCCCGCGCCGGGAACCCTGACATCATGATCATGGGCCACCGTTTGTTGTTGTTGGCAAGCTGGCTGGCTGTAGCTTAGCGGGGAAGGGCGGGAGCGGGTAAGAAAAAAAACAAAATAAAGTCTAGGCCGGTCTTCGTTCGTGGTATGATGGATACGATGGATACCAACTCCGGACTCCGTCATCACCGGAATCTCCCAAATCCATGTTGGCAGACTGTAGTACAAAAGTATTGTACAGTACTCTATTTTGTGGTTCATATTTACTAGCCATAAGTAGTTGTAATATTAAGAAGCATCGTAGCCCGGATTGTTGAAGTAAATATAGTACAGAACAAGCCAGTGTCATAAGGGTCTATGGTCATCTATCTATGTGCATGGAAAAATAACGGTGAGAAATTCAACAACAGGTCAGAAAGTAAACGAAGGATATAAACCCAATCTAGAGCGTAGTGGCTGGGGAGAAAAGAGAGCAAGAAGGAGTATGTCGTATGTGCGTTGTGTCCTTCCTCTTTACAACCGCGCGCTGAAGATAGCCTGGTTTGCGCTAACGCTCGTCGCTTCGCTCGTTTCCGTGTATGTTGGAGTAATCGGCTTTCTGTTAGATAATTGAAAGAAACATTTCCCAATGAATTAACAACAAAAACATAGTCAAAGGGAAATGTCATCAGGTCTCATTTACCGCTCGATGAATGATGGAATATCTTCCACCGACATAGCTCCCGTGAGAACACCTACCGAAGGTTAGCCATCTGGAGGTGTTGAGTGTCAGAACTTTAGGAGTGGTGACTTACGGTGAACAGCAGTCAGCAAGGGGAATTCATCCTCCATGCCCTGCTTCTTCAGGAAGTTGTTCACTTCAATTGCAGTCAAAGTGCCCTGGAGCTTTTGGCCGTTAAGCTCACTCTCTTCGACCTCTTCAATTGACTGCTTCCTCTCCACGCTGAGCTTTGCGCAACGGAAGTTACGGCCACCGCTGCAACTGGTGATCAGATCGGCAACGCCTGCACTCTCCTCAGTGAAAGTCCGAGTCTCGATGGTCGCGCCAAAGAACTTCTCTCCGAACTTGACCATCTCAAGAAGTCCAACCCGCATGATAGCAGCCTTGGCATTGTCGCCCCATCCCATGCCGACTACCCAGCCGGCAGCGACCGCGACGACATTCTTCAGAGCACCACCAAGGGAGACTCCAGCAACGTCATTCACTACACGAATATGGAAGTAAGGACGATGGAACAGGGACTTGAGAACATCATGATTGACTGGAGGGAACTCGGACGGCAGAGCCTGCAATTTCACCTGGGAAAGCTGGCCTGATACATCCTTGTGTTCGAAGTGAACAAGGCTCTCGGAAGACGCGGAGGGAGAGCGGTTGGGCGAAGGAGCCTTGGAATCTAAGTGTGGGGGATCGTAGGCAATACTGGACTCGGACCATTTCTCTTGCGCGACCTCACTGGCGATGTTGGCACCAGAAAGAGCACCGCAATAGATCCCCAGGATTTTGCCTATCGTTTCCGAGAAGAGGCTAATTCCTTCCTCGTTCACATCCACGCCCTTGATGCAGGATATACCCCGCGCGTACGGCACAATCTTCCCCTTAATTTGTTCGCAAGTCTTGATGATAAACTGATGAGGGAGGTTGAAGACGAGGATGGTGCTGTCCTTGACAGCATCCACCACAGATGGATTAGCGTGCAAGTTCTCCGGCAGAGTGATTCCGGGGAGGTATTTCACGTTCTCGTGAACGGTGTTGATGATGTCCGTCAGGTTCTGTGGCCCTTGGCACAATGGAGAGGAGGCGTTGTAGTGGCGTGAGTCCTTGTCGATTTCGACTTTCTCCTCAAAAACCCACATCTGAACATCTTTCTCAAAGATAGCAGGGTTGCTGGCAGTGTTTTCCGCGACAATTTTGGCGATAGCAGTACCCCTTTCGCCGTTAGCACCCAGTAACCCCTAACGAGAGCGCGCCCAGGTGTACATACCAGTTTCCTGAGCCGATCACAGCAACCCTGTGCTTGCGCTGATAAGGTCCAAGAGAGCCCATTGTCGTGTGATTGTCCAGAAATTCACTAGACTGTCGAAAATGTGTGTAGGAGAAGTGCCGAACGGGGTGGGAAAATGAGGGATTAAAGTTTCTTGAAGGGGCAGAAAGCGGCGAGGCCCTCAGAGGTAATAAAGTAGGAAGGAGGCGCTGGGGTGTTTGGGGCCGAGGTAGAATCACAAGTGTCTTCCAGCAAGGTGGACGAGACCAGCTTGATATAAGGCGGACTGGAGATTGCATCCACATGCAAAGGTCACAAATGAGCTCAGTGAAGTTGGTGGTCTGCCGAATTGTGGTGGGTGGCAGTGTGGCTCCCTGATGTAAGAGCAAGATAAAGGGACGGGTTCGATAGCCGTAATTGTGGATCTCCTCCTTCCCAGTTGAAGATACAAAGGGCCTCGGAGGCTTGAGAAAAATACTGATGGAAAGATGACGATCAAAAGCTTCCCTGGGACTTTCTGTACAACATCAACCCAGTTTTGGGTTAGCAGTAGTGTATAGTAAGGACTTTCCCCCACCGGTGAGAGATCTGTATCAGGGTGTTCAGCCAACGAGAAACAGGCCTGTTGGACAGAATCTGACCGAGGATTTGCCTCCGACCGACCAGCCTAGAAGGAACCACGCTAATCATGTGCCAATGAAGTCCGAGGCCTTTACGGCTCTTCCGATTCGGGGGAGTAAAGTCGGAGACTGACAAACAACCCGGGCGGTGAACGCAGGGGCTCGAATAATTTGTTGCACTATTCCACAAGAGGCTTAATTTCAAAAAATAGTCGGCAGTTTCAACAATTTATTATCATTATACCTAATAGTCACGAGCACATGCGACTGAAATCTTCCCCTCTCTTTTCCAGTTCAGTAAGAGAGAATAAATCGTACAGTCATGGTCAGTCGATTCGACTCCACTATTCGCTGCAGAATTGCCCCCTGACAGGTCGAATTATCATCTTAGGCCCCCATCAGACCGGCAAAGAAACAGCATGTCGTCAAGAAGCCCATTAGTGGGAGTGGCACCTTTCCTACAAACTCGAGTCTCTTCGATGAATTTCGCACGACTAAGAAAGACAAACGCTTGATCAAGCATGCCAGCTTCGTTTCAAAGATTGAGAAGAGCTCGAATAAGAACCACAAACGGCGACGTGCCTCGAAAAAACTCGTCACAAATCTGGACTCCCTGGCGGATGCTCTACCCGAAGCCGAGGAAGACCTGAACAATTCGAGCAACCAGGTGAACATCATCAAGCAGAAGACTCTGAAACATAAGAAGGGTGCTCAGAAGCGCAAAGAGAAGCTAGAGAAGGTCGAACGAGACAGATTCGCAATGAACATGGCACAGCTGTCAAGCATGGAGACGGCTGCTTCGTCGGACGCCAACGCGACACCCGACGCCAATGCAGGAACCAGTCGATGGGCAGCATTGCGAAACTTCATATCCCAGACAATGGAACAACAACCTGCCTTCAAGACGAATCAATGAGATACATGGAGGGAGACATTGGAGGCGCAGGCGTCTCGGTAGCAGCTGGGTCAGAGAATCTGCTTTGCTTGGAATAAAGCAAGCATTCAGTCGGGAGCTACTCTGTGGAGGGATCTCCAGATGCAATTCTATGCCTTAATCGGGATGATTATTCTTGGCTCATCTTGCTCAGAGTCATCCATAGGGTCTGCATCGAAATGATGTAGACATTTGAGCGGCCATGGCCACAGAATTCACATCGGAGCTCGTGCACTGCGAATTGACAAGTAAGAGACACACGCATGCTTGGGCATTGAATGTTGTGTTTACATATCAGCTCGGCGCATCTTCATCGTTCCTGAGCATGAAGATACGGGCGCAGGACGATTGAAATTATGCTGCAACTTGTTTGTGTGCTTGAAGTCCCTTTTCAAATGACTCAAACATTTTACATGACTTCGATCTGGCCATATAACTGATCAAGGAATCGAGTGTTTCTATGCATATCCAAAATACTTTTGTATTGTTGATTCACTCGTTCAGTTTGTTTTCTGGAATGTGACGGGAGAATTCTATTATCACCTGGTTTGGCGTATCCGTAGCCCAATTCAGCATCTAAGGCAATCAGACTAAAAGTTTTACGTTGGCAGACATCGCTTGATATCAACAAAATACAGACCCTATTCAGTCCGTACAATCCAGACCACGTCATCTGCGGATAGCATCGGTTGATAAGCATCACGTGCTGCGGGGAAAGCTATCGGTCGGGTTGATTGTATCTTATCTGCCACCATCGGAAGCGACGTCTTCGAGAGCTCCTGTCCTCCCTCTCCAGGCTTCTTCTCCCATCTCCCCTATTCAAACCTTATAATTTCCATCTGGAGAGGATTGTAACAGAGCATCGTCTGTACTTGTCCCATTCTCACGGTCATGCTGCGGTCGCCTCTTCGGGCCTGTGGTTCCCTTCGGGGGCACCGCTACTCTGTCCTCCGCTATCGGCATGCGCCGAACTCGCAATACCAAGGCAATGGTCGCGGGTTCACAAATTCTTCAGCAACATACCCAACACTTTCTCAATTTGATCGATCGGACTTCACCAGTCAGCCATGGACTGGAAGTTATGAAGCAGGGTTGCCAACAGCTGGGCCTCTCGGGTCTACTCCGGCCTTCGGGGCACCGCGGGTCACGCCGAGATCCTTGAAACAGTATCTAGATCAGTTTGTAGTGGGACAAGATCGTGCCAAGAGAATATTGAGCGTTGCTGTGTTCAATCATTACCAACGAGTGCAAGAGTTGCAAAGGCGAGAAGAGGAAAACGCAGAGTCACTGGCCAAGCGCGCACGCAGGGAGGCACTCGAGCGCCACCCGGTCGAGGGTAAGACATTCCGCAGTCACTTTACGAGCCAAGAATCTAGGTCTTTCGATAGACTCTAACTTGCATATAGATGAATTTCCAGGTCAACAACGAACCGTCCCTCTCCCTCCGAGCGCGGATCTACTTGCGCCCACGACGGCCCCGGTTGAACTCGAAGATTCACCGGACTCGTCGCCACTGCAGCTAGAGAAGTCGAATATTCTACTACTGGGACCATCGGGTGTTGGCAAAACGTTAATGGCGAAGACACTAGCAAGGATCTTGTCGGTTCCATTCAGCATATCCGATTGCACTCCGTTCACCCAGGCTGGCTACATCGGCGAGGATGCGGATGTCTGTGTTCACCGGCTCTTAGCCGCGGCGAATTACGATGTGGAGCAGGCGGAACGAGGCATAATTGTCCTGGACGAGGTGGACAAGCTCGCAGCCACGAAAATCAGCCACGGCAAAGATGTCAGTGGCGAAGGAGTACAGCAAGCTCTTCTGAAGCTTATTGAGGGTACAACCGTCCAGGTCCAAGCGAAGCAGGAGAGGGGCGCGCCTCGCCTCAACAACATCCCGAACACATATCCGTCGAACAGTCCTCTAGGTAACTCCCCGTTCACCCCATCTGGAGGGGGGCATAATCCGCAGAAAGGAGAGGTCTACAATGTTCGGACCGATAACATCCTCTTCATCTTCTCCGGTGCTTTTGTCGGCTTGCACAAGGTCGTCATGGATAGGATAGCCCGTGGCTCAATCGGCTTCGGTCAGCCGGTTCGGGCGCAGTCAGGCTCCTCCGAGCGTACAAGGGAATCAGGCTCGGCGAATAATAACCAGCCGGTTCCTATTCTCCCTGGCTCCGAAGAGGAAGCACTCTACCAAAAACACCTCCCCTTTTTCAACTCCGCCTCATCCGCATCACCTAACGGCGAGCCAGCCTATTTCAACGCCCTAGACCTATTGAACCCAACAGACTTGCAGAATTACGGGTTCATCCCGGAGTTAGTGGGTCGGGTTCCAGTCACAGCTGCACTATCAGCGCTGACGGTCCCGTTACTCGTCCGCATTCTCACCGAACCTCGCAATTCCCTACTCGCCCAGTACACGACCCTCTTCTCTCTTTCCGGCATCGAGCTCCGCTTCACAACGCCCGCGTTGCACAAGGTCGCCGCCAACGCATTCAACATGGGAACAGGCGCCCGCGCTCTCCGAACCGAGCTCGAGACGATCCTCAGCGACGCGATGTTCGAAACCCCGGGCTCCAGCGTCAAATTCGTGCTGGTCACCGAATCCGTGGCGGAGCGCAAGGAGAAGCCGATCTATATGTCCCGCGGGCAAGGCGGGCGCTTCCATTCTCTCATCGCCGCCGAGGAAAGTAAATGGGAGGAGAGGCTGCGGCGCGAGAAGAAAGCCAAGACCAAGGACAAACAGCCCAAGCCGCAGACTTCGCCTGAGATGCATGCAATCTCGAACTTCAAGGAATACCGTAACCGAGCAGCTGGCTTCTGAGGAGAGGCTGATGATCCTTGGTCTACGCACATCCTCGTTATTTCCATCTTCTATCCCTATCTCCCTCTCCGTGTAGTTTCCACATGCAGCGATTGGCCTTCTCTGTTTGGTTCGTTTGGCGCTGGGGCAGCTGGGCTTGCACAGTTTCTATCTCATAGTAGTCCTTTATTTTGTATTTCCCATATGCGAATATGCATTCTCTTGTGAATATCATGATCTTATTTGTACTGTTTCCTCCCTCCTTGGGGTCCTCAAAAAGCGAAACCCAACAGATGATGATATTTCAACAGTAAAAATGGAACGGACTTGTAAGCTTCAAAGGGTATTTCTAACTTCCTCAGATACATTTGTAACAAAAACAACTCCACGGTGAAATGTATCACATGAGCCTTTTCAAATATTTGCATGGGAAGGGGCTGTTTTCAGGTTTTTTTCTGTTCAGAATAAAGGATCTTTCCGAAAAGTTGTGGCCACAAATAACATTCACGATCGGCTTCAGTATCGAAACAGAGTGTGCGATGCTTCAGTGGTAAGGCTCGGGATAGTTATACTGCGCCGAAGCCGAATTCATGGTTTGCGTGAGCTTCGAAGCTTTGTGTTCAGTGGGCGCCGCACGAAGGCCGCGCGGAGTACGCGGCGTGTAAGGCGATGCTGCCTGATGGCTGTGGTGGTCCTTTGCTCCGCCCTGCGAGCCGGGCTTCTCGGTCAGCTTGCTCCAATAGTATCTGTAGTCGATCTTGAAGGATTCGATGAATTCCCTCGCGCCGTGTTTGAGCTCGATGTGGTTCCACTCCGCCCACCGCGGGAGCCTCAGGCCGGGGCTGGTGACGACCACGAATCGGCGGTACAGATGATTATTGACGAGGGCCCATCCGGCGAAGAACTCGATCAGGTGGTCGGCATTGAGGTGCGCGCGCGACAGGCCGGCGGGGATGTCGGGGATGTCTTTCTCGGTGCGCGACCCGTAGCCCTGGAGTTCGGGAGGGGAGATGGCGTTGCTTTCGAAGTACTCGTCGGTGGAGCCTGATAGGACTTCGCCGGAGGCAGTGTCGTAGGCTGAAGGGACGCAGAGTTGCGAGATCAGACGGTACATGGTCAACCAACTAGGTTTTGGAAAAGGGTGAATAATTGTTAGCTCTCGCGTGATGCTGCTGTCGGAAGGAGAGGGTAGGCCAGATTGCTGGGTCGCAGGAACTCACTTTTCTTGATCCGCCTGTGGACTGGTTTCGTGTTGCTGGAGAACCCAGTTCAGGATATCAGGGCGGAACATCATCTTCCAATACCCTGGGATCTTCTTCCTCATCCAATCGTTCATCCAGGCAAGCAAGACGATCGTGCCATGCTGCTCACGCACCATGAATTCCTCGGTCATCAAAATGACGCAGCCGTGGGGAAATATGCGTTGAAAGTGAGAAGGATGGTCGGCGAATTGCAGCGGCTTGACCAACGAAACGCTCCAAAAACCGACGGAGGATTTTCCGAGGAGTTGTTTGAGGAATGGAAGTGTGTGGAAGGCCGCAAAGCTCTCGTGGAACTATTGAACAGTCAGATCAGAAGCGAAGGGGAAGTGAACCAGGTCTAGAGGACACATACGAAGACGACTCCGGTAGAGACTGTCCGCGCAAACTTCTCCCAGTCCCCTTCATACTGGCTGGAATATATGACTGGATTGTAATATTTGAGGAACTCGGCCAACAGCTGAAACTCTTCGGCATGAATCGGATCTTCCGGGTACATAAGGTATAGTGCCTTTGCTAATTGAGTTTTCGACCCTGCATTCACCTTGACCAAAGTCTCAAAATTCACTTTAAATTGTTTTTTGAAAATAGTCTTCAGATTAAGCTCATCATCGGTGAGAGATTTCTTCTGTTGAAGAGCCGGTGGTGGCCCTTCATGATCGAAATCCATCGCTTCAAATGCAGCTAGTTCAGGTAGAAAAGGGTCGGTATTGATGTCTTCGAGTAAATTCGGTAGGCTGGACCCGTTCACAGTAGCCTCTGCTACGTGTTGGTCAGGGGACATGTGACGTTTTGAAGCGTTCTCTATCACGGTTCGATCTGCCACTTTCATGGATCTTGTAAACTCCCTTCTGGTCTCTTCATACCCCTCTGTGCTTGACAAATGGTCGGATCTATTCACATTCTCGGCCGATCCGGCAATCGCGGTTTCAGGATATCGTGGGGTTGAGTTTTGAACGTGTGTGTTAGTGTGAAGTTGCTCAATGGAATTCAGGGATTCTCTAACATGAATGTGAAGATACACATCGGGGATGTCCTTGCGTACATTGCTCAGATCTCGAAAGTCGAGTGAATCGGGAGGGTAAGCGAGAAACGCCAGCCCCACTCTCTCAAAGTTGTATATAGCCACAGTATTTTCTTGCTTGAGGTCTTGTGACATTAGGCGGATATCGGGTGTGGTATCGTCATATCCTTCAATCCAACCAACATCATAGGCTCTGCCCATTGCCTGGAAGTCGGTCAAGATCAGTTATCAAGCCATGCCATTGGGTTTATAGATTAAAACGCAGAGGTGGGCTTGAGTTGAAGTGCTTTGAGACCAATGAACACGTAACATGGCACTCACATTCGGAGCTATTGTTTGGTATTGATCCAATGTACAGACATGTTGAAACCAAATGTCAAGGCTGTGGCCTCCCTTGTGCCTAAGAAGCTGAGCTCTTATCCTTGACTCGAGGCCACAAAGCCTAGCGGCGCCTATCATCCTTCTATCCGGACCGTATAGGATCCGAACTAACAATTTGCCCGAGTTCATACTCGTGCTCACGTGGAGAGAGCTCCGACGCTGCGGATGAGCTTGAGGTGGCTTGCCACCGCCGAACAAGAGCGGAGGTACTTCCTGGGGAACGCGCCTCTGTGCCTGTACTCCTGGGCCGCTGGAATGGCGTCGAGACAAAGGTTTCTGTAGAGGTCGCTGTGAATCAGTTTTCTGCGCAACTTTGCTTGTCCCATCTGATGCTCGGCGTTGATCATGAGCAGCTAATGCTCCTAGCCTTCGTCTCTTGGCTTCGCGTCTGCGCTTGCGGTCCTCTCTCTTTTCTTCGAAGTCTTCCATATATTGCAGCCAGGCATCTACATCAAAACTCTTGCACTTTCCTGCTAGGATATCTCTCTTTTTCCGACGCCAGCCGAGGATTGTCTGCCCACCACTGAAGGCATCGGCAGGTTCCCAGGAGTTTCTCTCAGGAGGATAGCCAGCCCATTGCACCAGATAGCGGACACCGTTCTCGAAGCGCTGCTCAGCTAGGACTTGCTCGACTTCATATTCCGATTTTGGCTCACTCTGAACCGTCGAAGTGAGCGAAATGTCGTCCTCATCATCATCTTCTTGGCGGGGAACCATTTTACTTTCTGCAAAGTGAGGCCAGAATGAATACAGCGCTGGAACGTTTCTAGTGCATGGGAGCTGGTGATTGCCAGTCCAACTTGGAACAAATTAGGTGAGATTTTAACATGGATCTGGATGCATTGAGCAACGCTTCCCTAAGTTCTGAGAGTTTGGTGAATAACGGGTAGTCTCTTGTGGGGACCGGTCGGAATATAGATCGGTTTCCTAATATGGCAGGCTAATGAGTCGTCGGAAGAAAGAGTTGTAGCTGATATTTGTGGAGAGATTGAGCACTGCGAGTTGAGGCGATCCCCTTTATTGGGTGAGTAAATAGATACTTCCGGGAACCCCCTGCGGCGTGCAGCACACTGCATCCACTTGATATTCAGGTATCAACAACTGGGGACGAGTCGCAAGTTTGTTGCTGGGGACGATAATGATAATGGATCACGTGATAAGGACACTAATCCCGAAGAGGCGACAAACCAGTCGGGAATCGGTAGGGGAGGAAGAGACGGACGGGGAGCGAGAGAGAGAGAGAGTCCAGTCCATCTGCCGTCTGGATAACCTCCTAATCTCCCTTCCCCGGTGTCCACCCCTTAGACTTTCCCGGTAAGTTGCTCTTGTTGCTTTGTGGATTTAAGACTCTTATCTGCGCGCCCTGCTGTGTTTCTCTCTTTCCCTCTTCTCTTTATTATTGCAGAGATTAGGTAGTGAAGTACTAATTAGAGCACTGCTGCCCCTCGTTTGCAGAAAGTGAGATTCAACTGCTGTCGGTTTTCCCGTGAAACGCCTGCCACACACTCAACCCCCCCCCTTTGACTCGGCCACATCGGAAACTCTCCCCGTTCTATAAATCTTACCTGTACCAGAGCTTAGCGAGCTCACAAAATACCCATTATGGCTAACGACGAGTATGATGTGAGTGACCCCTTTCATCTAATCCTTTACTCGTTGGCAGACCTGTAATTGACGAATGTCGCTGGCAGTTCCTCTTCAAAGGTAAAGTTGCCACTCTTATTCCCCCCCCCCCCCGCAGTCGCCTCTCGTCACCGTTCCCTATCAAGGAGATCGCGTTCGTGTCAGGATCTCGGCTAACGTGCGACGACTTCCTTCGTTTCTCTGAACAGTTGTCCTTATTGGAGACTCCGGTGTTGGAAAGTCCAACCTCTTGAGCCGATTTACTCGCAATGAGTTCAACCTGGACTCCAAATCCACCATCGGTGTTGAATTTGCAACCCGCTCCATCCAAGTCGATTCGAAGACGATCAAGGCGCAGATTTGGGATACTGCTGGTCAGGAACGTTACCGTGCCATTACGTCCGCTTACTACCGTGGTGCCGTTGGTGCCTTGCTCGTCTACGATATCAGCAAGCACCAAACCTACGACAATGTCAACCGGTGGTTGAAGGAGCTTCGCGACCATGCCGACTCTAACATCGTTATCATGCTGGTCGGTAACAAGAGCGATTTGAGACACCTGCGCGCTGTGCCCACGGAAGAGGCCAAGCAATTTGCCAGTACGTGGATGTCCTTTGTCCATCGGGCTGGACATGCTCCTTTGTCAAGCGGGCTAGTATGCTGATGATATCCCAACAGGCGAGAACAACCTTTCCTTCATTGAAACGTCCGCTCTCGACGCAAGCAACGTCGAGCTTGCTTTCCAGAACATCCTCACAGGTACGCTTTCGCCACGCATCCATGCGCCTGCTTCTTGACGCTGACCCTCTTTGCAGAGATCTACCGCATTGTCTCCAGCAAGGCTCTGGAAGGCGGTGACGCGGGCCAGACCGTCCTGGGCGACCGTCGCGACATGGTGAGGATTGAGCAGTCGGATACCTCCGAGACCAAGCAGGGATGCTGTTAAAGAAACCATGATATCGGGGAATGTGTGACATGCCACCCAACCGAAACGATTTTATTTTGTGATGTGATAATTGAACGGTCTTGAGCTCTCTTTCTGTCTGTTACTTAGCCTCCTGGAGATGATACACAAGAGGAACGTCGTTAGGAATGGCATTTGGGGTTATGGACATGGTATGGCGGTGTTTGCTGGACATCACAATACTCCCGACACCTTGTTTCTGGCACCTTTTTACCGTCGTCGACTTTTTATTCTTTTTTTTCGATTTTCGTTTCTGTGGTTTGCACCTCATGCTTTTCTTTCTATACTCTAAAGATGACGAAATTGAATATTCTTGTGAATCTTCCTTGCGTTCTGCCCCTTGCATGTTATCTGTCCCACCAGGTTTTGAAGCCTTGATATGGCTTGCCCCCCTCAATGACGTGTAGACTTCCCAGAGCAAGTTAGTCAAGGGAGGAGAGGAAGCAATTCTGAACACAGAAAGCCATTGTCCGTCCTCTCTACCTTGCAACTGGCTACCATCCCAAAAGCCGAGACCCTGAGCGAGAATTTCACAGCATCGCGTCCATCCGCCTATAATACGTCTTCTTATTTCCCGGCCTCGCCAGTTGTCCCAGACCATGGTCGAACGAAGCGGCCCACATCCTCACCGCGGGAGCCCCACGAGGCATTTCCGTTCCTGCTCCATCTTCCACACGTTAGCTGGATGCATTTATGCAATTCAATAATAATCAAATCCCAGCCTGTCTTTTATACTCTCCTACATATTCCACCACTCAAGCTATCAATCCAGTATACGAAGTACACGTAGAGCCATCCCTCCCACACACCTCTTCCTACGCACAGCAATCCCCCCAAAAACCAAGACCGGCCCCATTTTTAATCACCCGCAACCCTCCCAAAAAAAGAACACACACAACAAATGGACTCCACTCCACTTGGGAAATTTAGCCCCGGTTCCAAGCGGGCTCAGCCTCAGCTCTTTTCTGCCGAATTCCATTTCCCCGTACGGTTTAGGGTGGGCTGATCAGGGGGAAGAGAGGGAGAGAGAGAGGGATGGGACGGGTTGGCCGTTTCTAAACAAGTGTTCGAGTCGAGTCGCACGCGCGGACTCCCCTCCTCGGGTGTTACCAGTGGATGCCCTGTGTTTCGTAGTGAGCTTAATTCTTCATTTTCAGTGGTGTCGTGTGTGTCGCGTGGAAGTGACGGGAGCTGGGGTTTAGAGTTGGGCATATGGGATTGATGTACAGGAGATGGCTGATGATTAGCCGATGTTGGATGTTTTTGCGTTTTTAGGATTGATTTCACCCTCGGGTCATGGGCTGGGAAAAAGGGTCGCCAAGACTTAGGGTGTCATGTATGGTCTGGATTCGTGCTGGAAGGTCTATGGATGCGTAGATGCTACATGGTCTTCGCTTGGCTCGCCTGGAAGGGTGCTGTCTCGGGGAAGCCGCATACGAGAAAGCCGTCTACCAAGGGGCATATATTTGACTGTAGACGACAAGACACAGACAATAGTCTATGGATTCGGCAGCCAGACAGCACCGTTGCTAATCCCAGACGACCCCAATCCCACGATCGGCGATGGCGGCGCGAAACTCCCCAATATCCTCGCCTCGCTCCTTCATCACCCACTCCAGGGTGTCCCCGAATGTCTCCCCATTATCCCGGAACCAGTCGCCCATGTCCCGCACATAGGCCTCGACCTGTTCCTTGAGCAGGGCGTGATCCCGCAGCCACAGCACCTGACCCGGATCAAGCTTCATCATGTCCTGCACGACGTAGTAGTGCGGGATCTCATCTCCCCACCCTTCAGATCCGGGGTCATGGAACAAATCGTTCCGGAAGCGGGATTTGTACTTGGCCGAAGATTCGAAGTTGCTCGGATGAGTAGTGTGGAAGTACCGCTCAGTCACCAGGTCGGAAGGCTTCGCGAACAGACTCTGGGGGCCCGTGGGTGCTTCAGGCGCCGCCGCCGCCGTTGTCGGGTAATTGAGATGAATGTTGAACATCAACTGGTGGGTGCTCTCGGGGTATCGTTTCTTGAATTTACGCTGGATGGTCCCGTTGCTGGGGCAGATGTGGTTCTGCACGACATCCCCGATGATCGCGCGCACATCCTCGATCTCGGCCAAGTCGGCGGTGGACCAGTTGTGCAGCAACTGCGCGCGTTCGCTGACGATATGGGGCAGAGTGCGAGTGAACCGGCTGTGGTCGTGCGTGTGAAAGGCGCGATGATACAGCCACAGACGGTAAATCGCGCGCCGGAGCCGGAATCGCTCCTCGTCGGAGAGCGTCCGGCGGTTCTCGAAATCCAGCTTCCATTTTTTGAGAGGGTATATGGCTTCCCATTTCTGGGCCACGCACCCAATATATATGATCTGTCGGAGAAGGGGGTCGGTCAGAGGTGCGGTGCGCGACACGTGCGCTGCCTGGCTGGTATTTTGAGTCACGATTTGGATGATATCATCTAGCGGGCCAAACTCGAGCTCCGCGACATCGTAAAGGATCTGTAGTTTATTGGATCGGTGGAAAACAGTGTGCAATCGACGGCACGTGGAGGCAAGGTTTATGACATCGGTGACACTTTCGCAGGAGCGGAATATATGGAGCAGAAGCTCCGCGGCTAGTATATTGAAGGACATGGTTCTGGACTATGGCTATCTTCATACGGTGTCAGCTCCATCTGAACGTTAAGGCCGATCTCTGCATTGGAAGAATTATACCTATTGTAATATTTCTAAGAGAGTTTCGAGAGTGGATTGTAGAAGATTAGATGACAAATGTCGCTGTCAAGGACAGAGCTGTCGTCGCTGCAAGCTCAATACCCCTGCGGCCGCTGTCGCAATAGAGATTCGGACCTAGATCGCGACCCCACCTCTGGGGATTACCAAAACAGATGAAAAACGGGTAGGGACCGTTGCCATAGCGTCAGGGACAGGACAAGCTCCAAGCAGCCACGAGGGGCTGGGGAGTGAAACAGATGCCATGATGTCTGTTAAGGAGTTGTAGTCGCGGCGATGGGGGAAGCCGGCGAGGCGATAAGGAGAGGCGGACGTCAGGTCACTTGACACAATCGCCTTCCTCTTCACCCTCCCTTATCTCAAAACCCCAATGCACTTGTACATATGGATACCAAAAGGAGGCAGGGAATGAGCTGTTCGACATTCTTAAGCTTGTAAGTCATATATGATGTATACACTCCCTTATTCCCTATCTCTGGGGCAATTTGGTAATTTGGAAAAAGCCAATATGATAGCTCTCTACACAATGACTGCAAGTACACATATGCAGAAGGGTTACTAATGGCAACAGCCTGATAGAGGCAAGCCATGAAATGCATTGGGGATTCATCGAAATGAGCGCAAATTGAACGATAACGTCAAGTACTTTTATTATTGTCACACCAGACGCCTTGAAAGAGAACCATGAATGTACCCCCCCACATCAATACATATACATCCCTTCAGGATATCAGAGTCTAATAGGGCGTAGAAATAACAGAAGAAAGCGATGCGAAACAGAAAACCGATTATGCGAACAGGTGCCGTGTGTCCAGAGCACCGGGCTTCTTCTCGCCGTCACCCAATCCCAGATTCGACCGCTTCGCGAAACGGTCCGTCTCGGCATCCCTGCGGTTGGCGTGGCGGGCGGCCTTGCCAATGCGGATGTCACGGCGGACCTGGTTGGGGCTCACGTATTCCTTGTTCTCGTAGATGACAGGACCGCCAAAGCTGCCCTCCAGGATCACGATCGGCGTCAAGACAAAGCGAGGTCCAATCTCGACGAGAGAGATCTCCGGCTGTCCATCCTTCTTCTTGGGAGCGGGCTTCGCGTCCTTGGCCTCCTCCTTCTTGCTCTCGCCCTCAGACTCCCGAATCTCATAGACGCGGATCCAGATCTTGCCATCCACACCAAAGACACCAATGATGCGGTCAACAAACGGCTTCATACCCTTAACGCCACGCTTGGGAACGCAGAAGACACCGCGGATCATCTCCCTGATCAAACCCCGGTATTCGCTGCCGGGGGAGCTCATGAGCGGGCCTTGCTCGTCGAACGAGCGGTCGAAAACCACGAGACCCCGACCGCCCTTCAAGCAGTTTCCGCTGAAACCGGCATTCAGCTCGGCCATGGTGTGCAGGTTGTTGACGTGAAATTTGATGGTAGGTCCATTGGGAGGGCGCGCAAGCCAGAGGTACAGATCTTGACCCTGCTTACGAGCCTCGAGGAAGAAGATAACGTTGCAAGAGTGAAGATCAGCGAGAGAGTTCAGGAGGAGGTTGTAGCCAGCGGTCTTCTTTTTCGTGTCGAGTTTGCTTTCCTTGTGAGTGTGGGGGAGAAGAGAGGCAAGGTCTGCGAGCAGGTGTCGGTGGCTAGAGAGGAAGTAAAAATCCACGGTTAGCAATTGGAGTCTTGTCCCTCAACTCCCAGGCTCAGATGTAGAAGAACGCACCGATAAGTTACACCTCTGGAGGTCAACATCAGGACGCGAGTCTTGGGCATGAACCCAGAAGCAAGCTGCTTCTTCGCCGCTTCAGTAGTGATTTCCTCGTCGTCTTCGCTGTCGCTCGAATCGTCGGCGTCAGCAAGGAGTTCCTCCATTTCAATATCCTCCTCATCGAGCTCCTGCTCCCGAGCGATGCGCTGGGCGGCTTTCTTCGAAACGGTTTTGTAGACGGACGCCATGGTGATTGCGGTATGCTGTGATTTGTGAAAGTCCGAATCTGTTGATCACCCGCAAAATTCAGAGGATTCCGGGCAGAATTATTTTTTGGTCTACACCGCCTTTGGCGATTAACATCACGTGACTATATCCACACTCTCACCACTTTGTGGACTGCGGAGACCTTATCTGGTTAGTCTACTCCGTACCTTGCGAAGCTATTCACATTCATATGCAGTGCTCTGAATTTTTTCATACTATCATTTGGCTCCATACTCAATGAGCCGTACCTTAAGTTTGATGATTCTCTTGTCACGACTTACTCTTCATCTCATCATTGCCATCACTGCTCCCAATTGAATCAAGAAATGGCTGGCATCTTCTCAGTACAATCGAGGTCGATTTCAAGCTTATTCTCTTGACTCCGAGAGCACAATACCCAAGCTTCAATGTCTTTCATTGCCATGTGTATCGGCGATTTCTGCCTCTCTCTGTAGTAGGATCAAGTCTTCGCTCCATGTAGTCTCAACGCTTATAGCCGGTTCAAGACGGCTTTGAACGATTCCCTGTCGCCCTGCAAAATAATTGCGCCATGATGCAGATACCACGCTAGTCAGAGATTCATCTCAACGTATAGAGCTCAGTGCACGATGAAGCCCTGAAAAGCCCTCTTGGGATACCTTCATTCCAGCAACTCGGTTTGCGAAGCTTAGCTTTTGCGACAAACTCCATTCATCACGCTGACAGAGAAGCGCGTACAGCATGCCGGCATTGAAACTATCGCCAGCACCTATTGTACTAATCAGAGTCAATGACCGACGCGACAAGTCTAACACAGTAGTCGTGGCGCATTGAGCCACTTGATTTCCACTTACTCCACGATACGAAAGTCTGGCGCGGTGTATGCGGGCTGATGAATCGCATCTTTGGTAGCAGTACTCAAGGCTACTGCTCCATGTTCACCCCATGTGCAGCACAGAAGCGAGCTAGCGTCAAAGATCAGTATATGGAGCATGAGAAAGCTTATGAATCTTGAACATACGCCTTCTTTGTCAGAGACGATTGTTCTTGAACACATTGCTCTGCCGAATTATACCCATTTCCCTACGGTTGTCAGCCTCGATTGCGGCAGAGACATGAGAACTGGGAATGTGTGTACCTGAGCCCAGCTCTTCGAATAGAAAACAACGTCGGCTTCCTCCGCGAGTTCCTGCAGCCCTGGCCGTCCTGGCTTCTCTACTTCGACGCTGATTCTGACCGAGGGGAAATGTTGCCGCAGGTAACGGATGCAGGACAGGGTGACCTCAGGTATCCGGCCCTATAGACCATGTCATTAGTCTCAAGCAAGAAGCCCTCTAGATGATCCGCAAACCTCAAAATGAAACCACGAAATCGTCGGGCCTAAAGTGTTGGCAATCGTGACAAATTCATCAACGGTCATCTCCGGAAGCTCGTTGTAGTTGACAATGGTCCGGCTCCCCGTCGCCTGGCTTTTGAAGATGTAACTCGAAGCAGGCTCTGTTAGATCTTCTCGGTAGATGCAGTGATCCAGGTTCACGTGCGGTTCAAATGCCGCCCGGATCTGCTGCGAAGCAGCCGATGAGCTGGCGGGCAGGATTGCAACCAGGTTCAATGATAGTTGCGCGGTCGATGAGCCGTGAGCAACCAACTGCTGCAGAACCTCAAGCGTGTTGGGGCAGTTGCCCCCTCTCCGACGAGAGATATTGGAAGCACGAAGCTTTTCATCTTCTCCAGGGTAATGGGGAGTCCTGATATATTGACGTCAGTTATGATCGGGCCGTTGACCGGGAGAGAATCCAAAGCCACCCACGTTAGGATCGTGTCTAGATAGCATGCGCCTACCGCAACGAGCGACATCCTGTTACTTGATTATCTACTGTCGGGTATACACAAGCTTAGATTACATTGAAAAGGCCTAAATAAGTACTGCACGAGCCTCGCCAGCGTTGAGAGGAGCTTGACCTTGATTTGCCGTGGGATTAGTCATGACCCACTGTCGACATCATCGTACAGCTCTCCCTAATGAAAACCCCATTCTCCAAGCTCAAGGCACAAAAGGACAGTGCAAATTTGCGTTAAAATACAATACCAAGGTGTTCCTTTCGTCGCAACGTGATTCTAACTTCTCCGAAAAATCACAGTCGTAGAAGATCAAACCGACCACAATTGAACAGTTTCGAAGCAGATTCGACAACAGAACAGTGGCCATAGGGAAAACATGCGGAGTATGAAGAGTCAAAAGTATCGAACTGAAAGTCAATAGTGGTATGTTTGGACACAGACAGTTCAGGAACTGAGAATTCGATCTGGATCAAAATGGAAACAATGGGTATGCTCGCGCTATTTGCAAGAGACCGATAGAAGGATGCTCCCACAAAACTAGAGAATGGCATCGATCGACTTAAGTAGATGCATGTTACGACTTCTCTACCATATCGTCAGAAGCCGCGACTAGGTATGCTTAGAGTGACGACTTACCTCAACAGACACGGCCAACTCCAGTCTCGGCTAGGTCAGCACGAGTCTGTTCCTCAGGAATTCCGGGCTCGATATCGCCACCTTCGGACGTGCAATCATCCCATTCGTTGTTGTCATCATGGTCGTGCATAGTGGTGTCAGCTTCGCCAGACTGAGCCCCAGCGTCCACAGATCCATGCGAATTGGCAGAGGATGTGAGTAGTTCCTTGTCCGCCCTCGAACCACGCTTCCAGTCGGGAAACTTATGGCTCATGCGAGTCCCATATCTCTGTCTTCATGACCGGTCAGACACAGGAAGAGCGAGACATAGCAGATATCTTCCAAGCATGGAAGACAGGAAACTCACCTGGCGGCATTCCAGCTTCCACCAATCCTGTCACCAACTTCCTTCCATTCCTCTTCTGTGAGCTTGATCTTCTTGACATAAGCTATAGTTAACATCAAGTTCAGCTCCGAAGACTCGCTCCAAGCGAGTCTCTTCGCCTTATTCCTCGGCCTTTTGGTAGAGCGTGCCTTAGGGGAAGCTCTCTTCGAGTTATTAGTGATCCTGGCCATCGTGATACAGGTCGAAACAGTAGTATGTGAAGAGTGTTTGTGAGACTTAAAGCTAGATTAAACTTCTAAGAAGATGTGGGTGCGTGGGGTTAGGGGAGAGGGGGGAGGGTGAGGGGAGTGATAGGATCTAAGAGAAACACGCATTACAAAGAAGCCCCGGCCTAGTGCGGCAGCGCATACAGTAACCAGGGTCTGCTGACCCTTGCGCATCGACAAGTGAATAAATCAGAATGTTATTTTCAGCGCAACCTAGCCTGACTCACCTCGTTTCATGTCGGCATGAACGATGTCATCGACATTTGCCGCCCTTTTTTTCACAGCGGAATAAAGCTGTGCAAAGCGTGGTCGATGCCGCTCATCGGATATCTACCCGAGCTTACTATGTAGGTGGTGGATGTAGCTGAATAACTTTACAGTTGAACTGGCTGGCTGGATGATGATGTTCTTATTTTGGTCTTCCTTCATCCGGACAAAGACTGATCTACTCATATGAGGATATTGGGCGTTGTGATGGGGGTGGTAATGAGATGAAGACTACTTCGCTCTCGACATCAAAACAAAGGGAAGCATGCTGAGAGCGATTAATATCTAGGAATCTGTTTGATAGGGCGCCATATCAGAGACTAGCTAGTAGTAAAGACTTGGGAGTTGCCGCGCTTGAGTAGGATTCTTCGGAGATTAGCACTAAGCTAGTATTTCACTGATGTTTATACCATGGACCCATGAGCATAGTTGGGTACTTGTGGAGGGTTTGACTTTGAGGTCGTCTCTAAGGCTGAACTTCTGGACGAGAGTATGATAAGGGAGAATATGGGTCTTTCTCTAGCTGATCCTGAAAGGCGACCTAATCCATGATTCTAAGAAAGCCTCCATCCGGCATACTAACAAGCACGAATTTGCTGCCGTCGACATACTCGCTATTTCTCGAGAGTCAAAGCAGTGTTTGAAATTTGACGACTAATGACTAGCTCTATTTAACGCTGCATTGCTCAAGTTTGGAAGGTAAAGAGTTACATAACAAGGAGATCTATATTCGATGTGTAGCACCTACAAATAAGATCAAAGACAGCTACCTTTGACCAGATTAAGTCTGTTGGGTAGAATCATCTATCGTTTGACCTACTGATGCGTTCGAATTTGGCCCTTCAGATGGTTAGATAAAAGGTGGCATTGATAGCTCGGTTGTTTGGCAATCTAATTAAGTCTGGAACAGACAAGATCCTTCGAACGAGACTATCTAGTATCTCTTTCAGCTCTTGCAAGCTCTGCTAGTTGATCTGAATTGGTGAACCAGCTGTCGCAGTCTTTATCCTCTATCCGTCAGCCAAAGGTGTGTTCAGTCAGGGTATAACGAACCACGTGATCATTAGCTACCATTAGTGAAACCCTACTCGCAGGCTGTAAGAAGGATATGGTGTAAAAACAAGGTCCTTGTACACGCTTTCTTTGTAGTTTCTATGCTTAAACGTGGGTTGTTATGCTCCATGCACGTTTAAAAAATCCAGCGAATGAGGCTGCTGTCACCTGCAGCATGCCACTAGCCGACATACAGAAGCTCTCTACCAAATTTGCGTCATTGTTGGGAGAACTGTAGAGGCTCCGCAGGCTTCCTTTCAGAATGGCCGAAATCTTTGTCGGTAATGCAGTATGGTGGCGGCTGTGTGGCTAGATTATCTTGATGATCAATTCTAACCCAGGATCGTGAATTATAAATTTCATCCTCTTACGTGCATCAAGGTGCAAACTTCTCAGTCACTTCTCCAGATTTCTAGGAATCATCTACATACTTCGTGTCAAGACTACGCTTCTACAAAAGAACGCCCCATCTTCTCTCTCCAAGCTCAACCATGCAGAATCCAAAACGTGGCAAGGCCGTGCCGACTGACACCCCGGCGTCCAAATTTTTGTACGCCATCCTCAAACAGTTGGATCTTAGATCGGTTTGTACTTCAGCCCAGAAGGGATGATTCCATCTTAATGACAACTCGCTAGGTTGATTGGAACCTAGTAGCCTCTGATCTCGAAATCTCCAATGGCCACGCTGCACGGATGCGATACTCACGGTTTAGACAGCAGATGGAGGGCAACGTTCCATCAACCCGGGCTCCCCGTGCTAAGAAAGACAACACCAAGTCGAGCAAGGGTAGTTTGCCCAGCGAGAACGGCCAGAAGAGTCTTCTATCCCTTTCTTCAGAGCCAGTGGCGAACCAGGGATTTTCAGCTCCCTACGGCGAGCATGTTTCCTCCTTGATGATGCCAACTCCTGGTCCTTCGCTCTCTCCTATGATGCCGCCTACTCATCCAGCTGCGCGACTACCATACCATCCCTCTCCTCTTCCTACACCCGAGGTAAAGCACGAACCTCTGGAGGCTACTTTCGAGCCTTGCCTGGAGTCTATGTTTAAAGCCGAGCCCTACGATGAGCACGTCCCATCGCTGGTGGATATCCCTCTGACTACATCTTTCCCAATGTCGACTATCCCACCAGCTGTTGCGCCGTACACTTCTATGTTTGCCAGCTCAGGCAACCCGGTCATGTATCCATCTGCAGCCGCACTTCAGCCCGGGCTTCAAGCTGAGTTTCGACCTGCGTTTCAGCCCGAGCCATTCTACCACGAGCCCTTCGGAGCTCAGCACCTGAACAATTTCTGGTGGCCTAAGATACAGCCGGAGCAGGTGATAGTGGGAGAGGATATGGAGGTCGAAGAAGAAATCAAGGAGGAGCCGCGAGAGGATGGTGATGCTACGAGTGAGTAGATTAGGGTTGGGTCTGGGAATTTGGTTTATCGCTATCACTATCGTGTTGTATGCTATCATGTTTGAATGCAACTGATGAGCTCGTGGCCCAAGTCATACATCTTGTTTTCTGCGCTTTTGTTCCTCTCCTGGTCGGACTACAATAGTAACACATACACTAACAAGATGACTTCTGGTTACTTTGTATAGCAACTGCATCCTCCTGGAATTACAAAACATAAGTGCGTCACTTTGTAGTGCGCGTGTTACGACAGTTGGTTTGCTGGATGTGATCAAGATCTGCCTTGACTGAGACTGACCCTCTCTTCACATCTGGCCTTGCTTTGAACTGTTTCCATTCTTTGCAATCCTCCCTCGACAACCCCCTTATCAGTTCTAATATCTCCCACTACCCCCACAAGTCATTAGCACACGACTCTGATTCAAACCATTTCACTAGAGTAAGCCAATCTTCAACTTCATGTCTTCTCAGCCAGCTAGAAGGGTGAGGACCAGAATTATTCCCTCACCATCTGTCTTGCATACCCTTCCCAGCAACCGTCCTCATTTCATTGCACACATCCCCTCCCCAAACGGTCCTTCTATTAGGATTTCCTCAACCATCATACAAGCTACCGTGTCAAAACCAATACTTCAGTCCAAATCAAAACCTGACTTCTAAGTTCCAGTCTACTTCGCCTCAATCATCATGCCTGGCGCCAAACAGGCAAAATCCGAGGATGAAATTCCTCAGATTGATGCTCAGTTCATTGTCCAGTGTGTCATGAACATGACATCTGACAGACAGGCGAGTTCTCTTCTTCCTTGCGTTCTCTCACTACTATCGCTAAGCATTCTATACAGGTCGATTTGAACAGAGTGGCCGCTGCCCTTGGCTATACCAATGTTGCCTCCACCGCGAACCGATTCCGCGCCCTGCGCAAGCGTTATGGGTTTGACCTCGAAGCCACCCAGACAACTGGAAGCCCCACCAAGATAGATAGCGCGTTGGCTGGAGGGAACGGTCCCATGGATGCTCAGAACGGGCAGGCCGGCCTTGAACTGACTACCCCGACCAAACGCAAGGCGCCTGCGAAGGGAAACCCCCGAAAGAAAACCAAGGCCAATGCCGAGGGGGCCGCTGAGTCGAATAACTCCGATGAAGCTCAGGCTGGGTCGGATGTCGATACCAAGCCGAACACAAAGGATCGCAAGAAGGGCGCTGCTGCCCGTGCCAAGTTTGCTCCCAAGGTGGAAGTTGTGGTTGCGCCTGAGACCCAAGATAGGCTTGATCTTGGAAGCGAGGTCGTTTAAGTGTTCCTTGAACGGTCTACGATACTGGTACGTTGCCTTGCAAGAAGAATCCGCTTGCTTTGGCGCTGATGAGATTTTGATATATAGGCAGATGGGGTGGTGTTCGACCGTTGTTGCTGGGGTCTTGAATCTTCCGTTCTTATCTTGTGTTGTTGACTCTTTCGAGGGATTAGCTCCAGCAACTTTGGGGATGGGATCCAGTTCATGTGCAGTCTTTTGATTTCCATTTCTTGTCACTTATTCACACTGATGGCCTTGGGGAAGGAACGCTGATGCTCCTGGCCTCTGCAGTCCAGACTCTTCATAGTAGGTTGAAGGGATGATATGTGGGACATGCAGTACAAAAAGTAGTTGACTGCCATTGCGCCTTCCTTCTTCTGCTCAACAGACTGTCTCACTAATTGTCCAAAAGCGGTTTTCCAAGCACTGGCCTCAAGCTCTTGTGTCCTTGTGTTAGGAATCAGGACCGTGTTCCACCAGTGAATAAACGTCAAGCTGATACTTCATTCACAGTTCCCCCAATTTGTTTGGACTCGCTCTGTTCTCTTCACTCTTGCTGCAACTCCTCGCTCAACTGGGCCAGGTCTTAAGAGATCCTTCTCTCACTCACTTCCCAGGTATCTTACATTGATCTCTCCCCCGCTTCGCCTTTTCTCATCCTACCGATCTACACTCCTCTACCCTCAGATCATTCCTCATCTCCACTCCACTATCAAAACCTTCGCACCTCAAGGCATCATCCACCCCTCTTCACCACGGCCGTACATATCGAAGATAACACACCCACCGGAGCGATCTCAGCAGAAGATGGCGCCAAACACACCATCGAAACCGAGAGCGCCTCGCCTCACCGCAGATGATCAAGTGCAGTTCCTTCTTAGCTGCATCCGCAACGCCACTGGCGGTGGCAAGGTAAGTCCTCTACTGTCCTCACCCCTCCACTTCTGGGCCCATTCATCTGGTACTTTTCAATACGACCCTTATACCGTCAACTCCCAGTCCCTACGTCCCATCCCTGCAACACAAACTCAGGGATCAAAACCGATCCCCAAGATTCCTAACTGACAAACCACCACCTCGAACAACGATAGATTGATTTCGCTAACGTCGCCGATGAATGCGACATTGTGACCAAAGGAGCCGCGTAAGTGATGCAGAGAGTCCTTTCCCCCCCTTCTTCGCCGTCACCTCGCCCCAAAAGTCATTCCATTCCATTAGCTATCAATCACACAATACATCTTCCCAAAGGAGAGAGCTGAGCTAATAGACGAACAAATGAACCAGCGCAAAACGCTACGAGCGTCTCCTGAAAGCAAACAACATCGCTCCAGCGGGGGGCAGCAATCTTACCTCGAAAACCACCAACGATGAGAACGCTGATGAAGACGAAGCCGATGGACTTGAGGCCGCCGCGACGGGAGGAGCAGGCAAGAGTCGCAAGCGTAAGAGCCCAACTGCTACTGCGGCTGCTATATCTGGTCGAAAGGGGAAGACGAGTGGCCTGCTGGCTAGAAAGAGGACAAAAGGCCAGCTCATGAAGGAGATGGCTGTGGCTAGAGCGCATAGAATGGTTGGGATGAGTGATTCCGGGGATGAGACTGTTAAGCAGGAAGATGGGGAGGAGGACGAGAATGTTGATGATGATGGTTTGACCATCAAGAAAGAGGATGCTGATGAGGAGATACTTATGGAAGACGAAAACTGAGATGGGGCGACTGGGGCTGGCAAAGAGACGCTGGGCTTGGACCAGGCTGGCTTCGACGATCGTGACCAGTAGGTGGCTGTTTAAGGAACATGATTGTGGTGAAGCAGACTAAAGACTCGGTTGGAGGCTGAGCATCTAGGTTCTTGCAGGGCGTTCGGTACTATGTCGTCTCCAGGTCTTTTGTGATTCGTTTTCGGACTGCGGTGACCTCCAGCCTGTCTGTGCTTCGGTTGAGAGGCTTCTTCGATTTGAGGATGGATATTTTTACAGGGGCTATCTTTGTCCTAATTGGAATTTTTACACGCGCGGCTCTCGAGATCATCAGCTCCTTTGGTGGGCGGTAAATGGCAAGCCTTGCTTTGGTCGACGTTTCTTTATGTGAAACCCGGGTTGATAGCATGTTGAAGAGCAATGGGCTTTGCTGATGGTTCATCTACCGGGAAAACATCGTGAATGCATAAAGTCGGTTGAAGCTGTTAAATACCAGCATGCATTGGAAAGTAGAGAAGTCAAATTCTATAGTAAGTAGACGCATGTCAAGGTAAGTTTGCTCAAAGGGTATCAGTAAAACGAATGAACAGAACCCAAAAATAACACAGAATCACTCCAGCTTCGTACCCGGAGTATACGCGGCAGAGGTGTTATGTCCAAATAGCACAGAACTGACAGGCAGTGGTTGCCTGTCGAGCTTACATCATGTTTTAGGGTATCACAGTTGAAACCTTGCTGGGGGCTAAAGATAATTGAGGATGCGCCGGCTTAGAGGTCTGCCATTACAGACTCTAAGATCTTGCGTTTATAATTAGAGAGCGACCGTTCCTTCTTCTGCATCTGCGCACGAAGCTTGAGGTACCTTTGCCTCCACGTGGCTTCGGAGACGTTTCCATCCGCGCCTTCCACGTCGAATTCAGCATCGGTGATGCTGTCCAGCTCCGCAATACTGTTGTCCAGCTCGTCCGTCGCCCGGAACGAGCTTTCAAACTTGTTACTGTCCGATGTGCCAATGTTGAGGTTTCCGTAAGTCACCTTGGTCGAGAACCGTAGCCCGTGCTTGTACTCGTGAGTGATCGTATATACGTGATTTGAAGGGGTTCCATCCACGCTTGGTGCAGTGGAGGAAGCCGAAGGCATCATCTCGATGTGGATGGTCATCACACTTTCGGTGACTCCGGGATAGCCGAATTGGTGTCCGAGACCCAGGTGCAACGCGGACATGAGGGCCGCTGAACCGCCTGGTATCTTCGCGTATGTGGGCGTGAGGCTTGAGACAACAGATGATGCTAAACCCCGGCCCTCTTCCGCACTGAGAGGAGCAGACCGACCGACAACCCTACCACGCAGTAGCTCGCCTGCTAGAACACGTACAACGTCGTCCGCTGTAATCTCTGTTTGTTGCACGAGGTTGCGATTGGCATAAGAAGAGGGATTGGTGACACCCACATTGCCAGCATAGTCGTAAAGCGGTGCCAGAGTCCCGTTGCGCTGGTTATTCTCTGTTTTCATCATGCCAGAGGCGCCATGGACTCCGTTTACCGCCAAGGTGGGCGGTGTCGCGAGGCGCACAGGTCCTCCCGGGTGCTGTGGAACCTGGAGCTGCAGCTTATTCGGTTTGGGACCTAAATTGAATGGTGTAGGTGATTGCTGGTATGGTGAGTCACTAAACCGGTTAGTGTGCTCTTGATCGAGAACAATGGCAGGAGATGATCGGATTGCGGAGTTTGCTTGATGGGTAGATTCGGAGCGGACAGGATTCACTGGGAAGGATGAAAATGGGCCTGACACTGTTCCTCGATTGGGAGGTCGGCCCCGCGTCTTTCCATTGCTCCCATTGTTACTAGGCCAGGCAGATGATACAGCGGGGCCATGACGCCGTTTGGGGCGTGTCTTCTCACCAGTGGATGGTGTCACTGCTGAGCGTGGCTCTGCAGGCTGAATGAAGATTTCCGATTGATGATTACTTCTGGGAATAATGGCAGAATGAGGATAGCCGTTGGGCGAAGCATCGCGTTCAATATGCCTCCAACGCAGATCTTGACTTTGCTGGGGAGCATGAGTCACAGATGGACCCTCAGTTGAAAATGTATGCGCATTCCCCATCCACGGATCAGTCGACTCTATCTCATCAGGAAATGCACTGAATGGAATAGCGCTGGTGGGAAATGTCGAGGTCTGCCCGGAAAAGGGCCCTGGATTCATCACGTTCATGGATGTGTCAAGTTGTGGTCGCTTGGCGGCCTTTTCCATCGCCTCGAGCTCGGCTCGCTTTCGCCCGCGTTTTGGCTTCCACTGAGGGACGAGCGCTCGCAAGGCAAGATCTTCCTCGAGTGGTACCCCATCCCGGCTCTCGCTTATAATACCGCTAGGCGGGAGCTGAGTGTAATAAGGATGAGGGTGTCCTAGACAATATTCAAAGAAGGCATCGACATGCATCGCACGCATCCAGCGCTACCGGAAGTTAGCGCTCGAACTTTTTCTTGGTACAAAACAAGGCATCAAAAATATAATCACGGAACGGACCTTGAGTCGCACTGCATATTGCTGAACTTTCTGCGTGCTTTGTTTCTTTTCCATGCAGGGCGGCTCTACCCCCAGCTCGATAGCCAGCTGAATCCATGTCTTTAACTCTTTGCAATCCAGCTTCTTGATCAGTTCGTAAAGCGCAAATATACTGAAGCTCTTTCCATCACTCCGTGGAGGGCATCTGAAGGTCTTTCGTAACTCCGACGTGTCCATCGACAAAGGGACATTCGGATTACAATAGAATATAAACATAATGTATGCATCGTCGATGCTTGCGTCCGTGATGTCGCGAGACGGAAGAGATCGGGTCTCAGCCGATTCCATCTGTTCTCGAGTAGACCTCTGGCGCAAAGAGTCATAGTGGGGAGGAGACAAGGAGGGTGCTTGGCGCACTGGCGCTGACGCTGGCGCTGGCGCTGGCGCTGGTGCTGGAGTTGGTACTTGTGCCGGTGCTAGTGCTGGGGGCACGCCAGGGCGTGGGGCGGTTGGCGATGCTTGTAAGCTGCGCGGGGTGGCTTTGCGGTGAAGAGGGGGCGATTTGGAGGTGGCAATCTGACTGCGAGCACTACCTATTGAAGATGCGCTATGTAAGCCAGGCTCCGGAGCAGGATACCTGGCGTACTGCTGGATAATCATCGGCGGAGGCCCTAATTCCGTCCGGTCTGGCTGGACCGGTTGAACTGGTTGGACCGGCTGGTTCATTACATTTGGAAACGAAGCTTCCATTTTGATAGGGCGTTGGTAAAAACGGTCTAAACCGAATTACCGGTGTTGACTTCTGGAAATCAATGAAAAGGCGACGGAACTGACAAGACAAGATGGAATGCATAAGTATAGTAGGGAAGCGGGAAGGTCTCAAATCGAGGGCTGGAACGGGCCAAAATATAAAGTCAAGTCTTATTAGACGGCGGTTGTAAAAGCACGGGGTATTTCGGGGGCCAGCCCAATAGTTGCAGTGCGCGATTGGAGGGATCGGATCCTCGTGATAGGTTCGCTCAAACCGGAGGAAGTACCTAGTTGCAGGTGGTGCAGTGAGGTGCAGTGGTATTGTTGATAACGTACGGTAGCTGTACGTATGTAGGTAGGTATATACAAACTTAAGCAAGCAATGGATGGATGGAAATTAGCGACACGGCATTGGAGCAATCAATGCAGGATCATCGCAACAGCGACCGAAAAGATCAAACAACATTGTTGTTCGCAAGCGCCCGACGAGAAAGAAGGAGAAGAGAGAAAGGGAAAGAGGGAAAAAGAGGAGAGAGGGTGGCTGGACGACGGCGGCGCTTTAAGGAAGCCCGATGATAGATTAGGAACTTGAGAGGAGCTGACTGTTGCTATTTCGGGTCTCCCCTCGATCCCTCTCCAGGCTTAGCGTTGTGGCCTCAGGGCGGGGGAAATTGATGCCTGGGCCAGTGCCTTCCAGTGCCTTTCAGTGCCGCCATTCGCATTCAATTGCATTCATTTGAAGTGAACATTCGATTGCCTGTCACGCAGTCACACCCTATCACATGCACCCCTTAGCATTTTAGCCGCCGGTCGCCTGAGCAATTAGGCCACAAGAATCGACTGATCAACTAACGAACTGGATTGCTGCGGAAATCCAGCGACTTTCCCTTTCCGCTTTAGATCCGACTTAGCGCTGCTTTTTGCTTACTAAGCAGCCCGGAGTGTAGAAAAAGCACAAAATTACGTATTCTAAATAATGTCTGAGCGATCTCGGATTGCTCCGAAAGTAAAGACTGAAGAAAGTAACTATTATTCTAAAAGTTCGTCTGGACTTATTAGTACGGGTTATAGAATCTATTTAAACTGTATATAATTAAGTTTATATATCTTACTTTAATACCGCTGGAGTGCCCGTTGATTTTCTAGTCTTCTCTAAATATTAAGTCTATATCAGCAGTCTCACATTAGATATAAAATTTTTATTTTATAATAATATTATAATTTTACAGTAGGAATTTAATCTATATTCTGACAATATCTATCTACTCTGTAATAAATAAGATAATCCAGCTGCAGTCGGAAATAGAAGCGTCGGCGTATATAAAAAATAACTACAGAATTAAAGTTATAAATTATAAGTTGCAGATACAAGCATGTTTAAAGCCGGCAGATTTAATCTATTTTTATAAGCAAGTACTACATAACCCGCTGGTGTGGGCGTTAGCAGCGGATATAATTTAAAATAAGAAACTAAAATATTTCGAATGGATTAATATAAGTATAGTCTGTATATATAGCAAGATAGAAGGACCTAGTCTTATTAATATAACTAAAATACAAGTTTTAACTGCTTAAATATTAAAGAATATTTTATTTTCTATACCGAAGCCTTCGTAGAAGCCGGAGTTGCCTACTTATACTGTTATAGAAGAAACAACAGCAGTGCCGGAGAAGCTGATTGGAAACAGGCCGAAAATTCCAGCTGTAGTTACCACCGAGCTTCCTGAAGCGCTTTCGGTCTCAATGGTTGGGTAAGAAATCCAGAACTGGCATTCTGTGGGGTTTTTTTCAGAACAGCAGTAGCAAGGCTTAGCATGACGTGTTATGTCATTCTTCTTTCTGTAGATAGAAATGAAAATTTCCGCCTCCAGAATGCTTTTTATCCGTATTATTCCAAGCCCATCAATGGTTCGTAGAACGGAGTCATCGACCTGGATCTGGAGGAGTACGTTTGAGGCAACCCTTATCTTTTCTTTTTATATCTCCCTGACCAGGCACAGAAGTCGCGAGAATGTTCAATTCGCCGTGATGGACGTCGAAGAGACACGGGCTGTCGACAATGAATCTGATCTCATTCATGTTCAGCAAATGCTGAGGACGGTCCGCAATTGAGGCAACCTGTGTCAACAACCCAACCCGGCCATCTAGACGCTTACACACTATGCACGGCAAAATGTGGAAACCGACGGCTCAGATTGCCGAAGTGTAGATAAGTCTGGTATCGGACAAGAAGATCTCCTGGGTGTATTACTGTCACCCGAAACTTAGCTGAAACTCATGAGCCTGTTGCCTCCGTCTAGCAAAGTACCTCCTGGCCTTGGCTGCAGTTGCAGTCGGTTCGTCATGACCAAGGATTACTCAACAATTACTGATGGGTTATGTAGCAGGTGGTCGATGGTTGAGTTTATGCCTACTAAGTGGACAACCAGTAGATGACTATGCAATACACTTATCATTATCATAACACTATTAGTCGGACAGCTGCACTAAGACTCCTCGCCACTAATGCAAAGAACAGTATATACAGGTATCGACCTTGCCCGGCCTACGGCTTTACCAATCGGCTCTTCTCCGCCATCTTGCCTGCCAGTCCCGTGACCGAAGCCGCATGCATCACATCAAAGATGGAACAATCGGCTTGTACCGTCGCGACGGACCAATTGCGCAATTCGACCGCAACCAAGGAGTCGACCCCAAACTGGGCCAGCGGCGAGGAGGGATCGATCTCCTCCTCGCTGCGGCTGAACATCTCGGCCAGCTTGATGACCAAGGCGCTCTGGATGACGGTTGTCGCCTCTGCGGGAGTGATGGCCGCCGACAGTTGCTCTTTCAGACCAGCTCCAGGGTGCGAGGTCGATGCCTGGCCGGAAGAGGACGCGTCCTTCTGCTCGAGAACGGCGAACCGGGCGTCCCGGTTCCAGCAGACGGCAGAGTCCGAGCGGATAAATGCACCGGGGAGACCGGTAACGACGTGGCAGGTTTCTGGGGTGCGGATGGGGTGCCGGATGGCCGCCTCGACCAAGGCCCACACCTCGTGCTCCGAAACAGCGCGCAGACCAAGCTTCTCGAGATGATCGGCAACATGCTGAGTGCCCGCAACCACCCCCACGGAGGAGACCATGCCTAGGTCGATGGAGACGGCGGGGAGACCCTGGCTGGCGCGATGACGAGCCAGCGCATCCTGATAACTGCCCCCGGCTGCGTAGTTAGCTTGGCCCGCGTTGCCCCCGAAGCCGCTAATGGAAGAAAGAAGGATGAAAAACCGCAGGTCAGTGGGGAGCAGGCTGTGCAGATTGAAGGTTCCTTGGACCTTAGGCTTGAGGGCGGCCAGATAGTCCTCGCGAGTCATCGATTCGAAGATGCCATCCTTGAGCACCATCGCGGCTTGGATGACACCACGGATGGGCGGCAACTCGCCACGATACTTGGCCAACACGGCTTGCAGCTGGGCGCGGTTGGAGACATCACAGCTCTCTAGCACCACGGTCGCACCGGTGGCTTGCACGCCTTGCAGCCACTGCTGGGTGTCGGGGGTGATGAGAGCGGCATTGCGCGACAAGACCAGCAGATGTTTGGCGCCGCGATCGACGAGCAACTGGCAGAGGGACTTGCCGATGCCGCCCACACCGCCTACCAGGCAGTACGTCTCGTCAGGTGACAGTTCTGCCAGTCGGGGCCCGGCGGTGAGCACCTTGACTGGATCCGCCGGGCGCGGCTCCAAGACAATCTTCCCCATGTGTTTTCCCGTCTGCATCGTCCGGAATGCCTTCTCGACTCCTCCCATCCCAAATCGCGTGATCGGCCCCACTGGTCGAATTGCCCGTCGTCGCAGCAGCTCATTAATCGCCCCGAAGATGCGGTGCACTTCCTTGCCGCGCTGTTCCCCGAGGGTGATCAGATCCAGCGACGCGAAGAGCGTACTCCGCACAAACGGCCCCATCTCCATCATACTATTCTGCTCAATGTCTCGCTTGCCGATCTCGATGAACCGACCGAACATGCCAATGCAGCGCCACGTCTCACGCAAAAGCGGTCCGGCCAGCGAGTTGAGCACCACGTCCACCCCCTTGCCGTCCGTCGCCGACATGATATGACGCGCAAAGGACGCGTTCCGGCTACTGAAGATCCGCGACGAGGGGATCTTATACTGTTGCATCAGAAAGTCGCGTTTCTCCTCCGAGCCGACCGTGACGAAAATCTCCGCCCCGATCGACTGTGCGAGCATGATGGCCGCCTGCCCGACTCCGCCCGTGCCCGAGTGGATGAGCACTGTTTCGTCACGCTGGAGTCGCGCCAGGTCGACCAGGGCATGGTACGCCGTGATAAACACCAGCGGGATGGAGGCGGCTGTGGCGAAGTCCATGCCTGCGGGGATCGGAGCCACACTGGTGAAGGGGATTCGCACCTTGGTCGCGAAGTAGCCGATAATGAATGCATACACCCCCTGCCCGGGGGTGAAGCCCGCCGCTTGAGCCGCCGATCCGGCGCGTATAATTACTCCACTGCATTCAAACCCCATCCGCGTCTCGTCGAGCTGGCCCAGCGCCACCATAATGTCGCGGAAGTTGAGTCCAAAGGCCCGGGGCTCGATCTCCACCCAATCGTCCGGAAGGGTCTCGTCCACTGTCGGGTCCTCCGTGAAGACGAGACTGTTGAGCAGTCCCGGGGTGGCCACTCCAAGACGGATATTCTGTCCCGGAAAAGACCAGGGTCGCAGCTCGGGCATTTGGGGCTTCGTGGTCCCCACCAGCTGCGCTTCCTGCTCGTCGCCATAGACGCGAGAGATTTGAACTACTGAATCACGGACTGCATACTCGGTCTCAGGCAGATCTGAGGAGGATGCAGTAAGCGTGTAGCAGAGGATCTGCGCGATCTGGATTGCGGATAAAGAAGTCCAGACGGGCGCACTCGGGTCCAAGTCGACTGAGACATACCGCCGGAGAGTATTCTCGCAGCGCAAGGTACGCAGAAGTCCCTGGTGCAGACTGCTCCGGGGATCTTCCGCATTGCCCTGAGCACCACGTGATACCCACATGGCAACCCGACAACTGCCGAGCCCACGTTGCAGATCCTGGAATTGTTCCGCAGTCGGATTCTCGAGGATTGGCTGAACCAACTCGTCTAGGATTAAACACACTTTGTCCTCCGTGCTGATGTCTGCGAGTGACGAGACCACGGAAATTCCAGATATAACATCGGCCGGTAGCGATTGCTGGAGTGTCTGCTGCCAGTCTTTTGGAGGAGTCGTGGCTGATACTAGGACAAGCTCAGCGGGAGAATCCAGGGTCGCATCGGCTTTCGCGCTCGCCATCACCACCTCGCTTTGGTACCCGCCGCTGCCCAGAGCTTCTTGGAGCTGGACGTTGCTCGACTCGAACCCAGCCTGCATCAGAAGCCTCTGCCACGTGGGGGTGTCTTCAAAAACTGGACCCCATTGTGGGAGGAGTCGAACAACAGTCTGTAGGGCACTATCGTTCAGAGAAGGACCCCACAGGATGCATTTGCCACCCGGGGAAAGAAGTGCATGCAGTGAGCCGAGGGTCTGGAGTACATTCTTCGCAGTCAACAAGGCCGAAGCCGACAGAATCAGTAGATCGTAACACCCGCGGATAAATCCCTGGTCTGCCGCCAGCGTATCCAAATCCAGGACTTTGCACTCCAACCCTGTATGGTCTTGGTGTCCCTTGCTCAAAACTTCCACCAGCTCGATACTGGGCGCAGTCACCTCGTAGCGCGTGAAAAGCTGTGTATTATCGCGCGTCAGGGCCTTGGCAAACATCCGTGTACTAGCCACGTTACCCGTACCGATTTCGAGCACCGTAGCTCGGGGGCGTTTATGCCCGTGAAGCTTCAGCAATGAAATCAGTCCTGTCTCGAGATATACAGGGACGGAAGACCATTCGGCCTGGTCCTCCGCCAGGAAGCCGTGCAGGATCTCCTGGGCGGGGACCAGTCCCGACACAATTTCAGGGAGCCGCTCCCCAAAGTGACACAGCAGTCTCCCGTCCACGCTCTGCTTCAGATCCTGCATCAAGGCAGCTTTGTACTGTGGCGTTACCCCGGGGATGTCCAGGGTCGAGCGCGCCTGATCCGCCACTCCTTTCATCCAATCCCAGTATCGCTGGTGCTCGGGGGCTACCTCCTGTTTTTTCTCGACCGGTTGCAGAGCATCGACAATGAACACGGCGGCGGCAGCCTGCAGCTGGGAGAGATTGGGCTGTTGGGTGGCCTCGGTCTTTCTAGGAAGGTGCTTGAGCTGTACGAAATCAAAATCCGGCGCCCATACAGAAGTGTAGCAGAGTTTGTCGTCCGTCGTCAGCACAGCGGCAGTAGATCCCAAGGATTGGCAGAAAAGTCCGTCCAGAGTGAGTACCGGTGCCGCTCGGTCTTCCGATCCGTCAACGCCTGGATGGTTGATGACCTGGACCGAGGACTCAAACCCTTGGCCGCTGAACTTCACCAGGGTCGAATCGGCGCGGAAATGGTGACCAGGGGAGGCAATGAGGTTGGCCGAGATGTACAGGTTCTGGATAGAGGTTGGAATCATGGCGGTGCGCTGCTGCGTGCCACCGGCGGGGAGGTTGTGATAGACTGCCTGGAACACCGTGTCCAGTGTGGTGGGATGGATGACGTGCGCCTGCTGATATCCCTGGGGCATGGTGGCGGCCGAGTCGGCGACCCGGAACACGGACTGCGAATATCCCGGCGCAGATTGCGCAGAGACCAAGTTTTGAAAGATTGGACCGTGGCAGACGCCGACCTCGTGTAGTGTCTTGTACGTCTCCGCGGGCTGGAGGGGGCGCCACGCACTGACCGGCACGGTGGAAGGCAGCACACGAGTCGGCGCCGGTGGGCCTGCCCAACCCGTCCCTTGGGTGCCAGACGGTGTGCAGCAGAGACCCTCGCAGTGCAGGGTCCACGAATCCCCAGTCTGGTTCACGGACTGGATCAGGAACTCATACCACCCCTGAGCGTTGCGGACGCGATCGCCGCATGGACGCAGTGATAGCTGCACCTCGACTCCTTCCGCCGTGTCTTCTAGGATCAGCGGATTCCGGATCCGGATCTCCTGCAGTTGGTAGCCGTGGATGGGCTGGTCGGGAGTTTGCAGCTGTCGCAGCGCTTCCACAACCATGCTGATGTATCCCGCTCCTGGGTAGACAATCGCCCCCTGCACAACGTGGTCGCGAACCCATGGGATGTCCCGGGGACGCACCACGTGCCTCCAGGTCGGCGTAGCCGGGGTGGAGGCCGCGGCGGGGACGCCGAGAAGATCATGGGGCGCGACGGTTCGGCCGCGCAGTTCTTGGTTGCGACGGGGCTCGGCCCAATACGATGTCTCGTGATTCCAGGGGTAAGGGGGCAGATTGGTCAGGACCTGCACCTCGCTGCGGCCGTAGGGGAAGTTGACCGCCTCGAGGTCGACAGGGTAGCCGGCCTGCAGGAGAGTGCAGGCGAGCTGATGCATGGTCTGGACCGCATCCTGGCCGCGCGAGAGGCACGAGGCGTAGGTGATGCCCGCATCTTTCAGCTCCGGTAGCGCCAATGTCTGCCGAATGGGTCCAGCGAGAGCGCCATGAGGCCCGACTTCGACGAGCATGTCCACCGCGGTGGTGGGGCTGCTATCGCCCGGAGCAGCATCACTGCACAGGTTGCGCAAAGAGTTGAGGAACTCGACGGGCTGCACCATGTTGCGCACCCAGTGATCGGGATGAGCAATTTCCGCCGCAGATGTCATCCGGTCCCCCGTGGTTGGGGACGAGTAGATCACCGTCGAGTCGAATTCAGGATTCGGCTCCAGGTAGCGCGACAGCAGCACGCGATAGGCCTCGGCCAGCGGCAACATGTGGTGCGAGTGATAGGCCGCCTCGACGCGGAGACGGCGTGCGAAGACCCCACGGGCTGTGAGCAGAGCCTCGACCTCCTCCACAGCACATTCGTCGCCGGAGATGGTGACGCTGGATGGGCTGTTGACACAGGCGATGACCGCAGTGCCAGACTGGACTTCCGCCAGCGCCTTCTCGGCCTCCTCCCGTCCCAGCCCCACGGCGATCATCCCGCCGCGGCGATCCAGAAGTTTCTGAAACTGGCTCGTCAGATCACCACGGGTATAGACGATGGCCATGGCGCCCGCCAGGGTGATGGCACCGGCAGCATAGGCTGCACCCACCTCGCCACTGGAGTGGCCAGTTACTGCTGCGGGACGGATCCCCCAGGACCGCAACAAGTCCACAAGGGCCAGCTGGATGGCGACGCTCAGCGGCAGACTGAAGGTGACCTGATTGATGCGGCTCTCCTTAGCGTCTCGCTGCAGCTCTTCAACCGCAGACCAAGTGGCACCCATGTTCTTAAGGCAGGCATCGATTTCATACATTGTGTCACGGAAAACCGGATAGGCTCCAAAGAGCTCACGACCCATGGCGAACCACTGAGCGCCCTGGCCAGTGAAGACCATGCCCACGCGTGGCGCACGGGTGCTGCGTTGTGCCGTTGACCGGGCGGTGCCAAGCGTGTCCTGGACATCAGCCAGCGTCGAGCCACTCCACGCCGTCGTCCAGGGGAATCGGGTTCGTCGCTGTCCGAGAGTGAAAGCCAGCTGGTCGAGGATCCGTTCCTGGTCTTCACCGCTGCTGTTCTCCAGGGAGGTGGCGGCGTAGTCGCGCAGGTTCTCGGCCATGCTGCGGGCGGCAGCGGGATCCTTGGCACTGAGTACAAACACGCGAGACCGCTTCTTAGGGTTCGGGGTATTGCCCAACTCCGAGGAAGCTGGAGTCATCGGCAGCAACATACTCTGCGGGCTTTCCACGATGACATGGGCATTCGCGCCGCCGTATCCGAAATTGTTGATCGACGCCCGCTGCAGCAGAGGCGATGGCCATTCCTGCAGAGTGAGGGGAATCTTCAGGTTCAGCGCCTCCAGCGAGATCTTTTCGTTCGGAGACTCGAAGTTCAGATGTGGGGGAATTGCTTGTTTCTCCATCGCCATAACCACCTTGATCACGCCAGCCAGTCCGCTGGCCGCCTCTGTGTGGCCGATATTCGTCTTCACTGAGCCGATAACCAGCGGGCGCTCGCTGCTCCGCCCCGCGCCGAAGACGTGGCCGATGGCGTGGGCTTCGATTGTATCGCCTGCCTGCGTGCCCGTACCATGGGCCTCCACGTAGCTCGTGTCGCGGGGATCGAGCCCTACCATGTCGTAGCACTCGCGCATCAGCTCCTCCTGCGCCTGCTGACTCGGCGAGGTGAGGGTGGCCGTCTTGCCGTCCTGGTTCGCCGCCGAGTTGCGAATGACCGCGCGGATGGGGTCCCCGTCGCGCAGGGCTGCCACCAGGGGCTTGATGATGATGCTGGCGATGCCGTCACCGCGTCCGTATCCGGCGGCGCGCGAATCAAAGGCAAAACACCGACCGGCTTCGGACAACAAACTCATATTCGAACCGGCGATAAACATGTCCGGGTTGAGCAGGACATTCGACCCGCCCACGATGGCCATCTCCGACTCACCCGTCCGCACGCTCTGACACGCCAAGTGCAGGAGAGTCAGCGTCGTCGAACACCCCGTGTCGACCATTAGGCTGGGCCCGCGCAGATCGAAGAAGTGCGAGATCCGGTTGGCGACCATGGCCGCGCCGTTGCCGGTCAGGAAGAACCGCGCCAGCGTGTCTGGATCACGCATTAAGCTGTCGTGGTTGTCTCGGAAGCAGGTGCCTGCGTATACCCCCGTGCGCGACCCTGCCACTTGTTCCAGCGGCAACCCGGCGCTCTCTAGGGCTTCGTAGACAGTCTCTAGTTGCATACGCACTTCGGGGTCCATTGTCTGCAATCACGTCAGTCTGTTCCCCCTTTTTTTTGCGTTTGCTCTCTTCCTCCGCCCCTGAACAGGATTGGAAACTTACACTGGCTGATTCGGCTGTGAAGTTGAAGAAAGCGGCATCGAATCGAGAGATATCCTCCGTGAGGAAATGCGCGCCTTTCACATATGACTATCGAGTACTCCTGTGTTAGACAGATTCTTTCGCGCAGAAGGCTTTTGCAAGCAAGAATCTGTGAACGAACCGTGCCGAGGTGCCCCTTATCAGGATGATACCAGCTCTCGGCGTGGAACCGGCTCTCCGGAATCGGCGACCAGGCGCTCTTTCCCTGGGCGCAGAGGTCCCAGAGCTTCTCTGGGCTGGAGGCATCGCCGGGGAAGCGGCAGGCCATGCCGATGATGGCGATGGGCATGACGCCCAGGTCGCCGCGCTCAGAGGCGTCCGTGTCGCTGGGAGTCACTGGGGCGATCATTGTGTCGAGATGCTGTGGTCAAGTCGATAAATAATAGGGCAGAAACATTAACAGGTCGGTGTTCAGAGTTCAGCTAGGTGAAGGTAGGTCGTTGAATCTTGCCGTCTTTTGGGTCTCGAAGAGGTGGGTGCGTTCGGATTTCAAGTTATGATTTCTTGCTTTGTAGTGAAATGAGCTGGCTGAGTCGCTTAAATGGACGGCCACCGCAGTAATAGCCAGGTATATACAGCACGAATGCCCTGGTGAGGATCAAGTCTTCTGAGGATGCAGGGTCCGGTGATGTCCGATTGTGGTTCGGACAGCCCGCCGAATGTGTTCGGGTCGGGGTCGGAGGAGGAGACCCCCCTCCCACAGCCTAGCTGTCTTACTGCGGAAGCACAATTTTGAGAAATCTAGCTTGGCCCTGTGCATGCTAGTCAAGTGGACCCGGTGGATCAATCAGTTCATGTTGTTCTACTGGCGTGCTGGACCCGATCATCGGTTCCTTTACCGAACTTGCACGGCGCAGCCGTTGATCGCCCTTCAATGTCCAACTCTGTTGCTTTCTCGCAGCTCTTCTATTCTGGATGAAAGTATCGCAGCGGACAACGTGTAACAATGATCTCATCTAGCAGTGCGGGCAATCGAGCGCTATCCAGGCACTGTTCTGTCTGCTGCCCTCGTGTCTGGGACTCACCCCCGATGGAAATCGGAGACGATTCGGAGGTCGGCCCTGGTGCTTATGCCTAGCAGTGTGGTGTCATTCGTACTATTGGTGGTATCACAGCTCAACGGCACGAAATCACCGACTCGAGCGAGCGTAGATGGTCGGAGCAGCTTGGGTTTGATTCGGGATACGTTCTACAGACTACGGATTCTGCACGACAGTGGGGTTAACCAGGCTTTGAGTAGGTGGTTTCGATCGAGCATTGGATTGTTTACAAACACAGCATAGAGGTAAGATAATAGATTACATATATTCGGCAACTAAAACAGGTACAACGAGCATCGAGAATAAACAAATCGATCACCAAGAAAACAACAAGGTCTTGCCCTTATCCAACCAGGATTCTCTAGCCTTCACTCCCTTGGTCACCCCCACAGTAGGTGCGCGCCTCTTCCTGGCCACCAATCGGGGAAAGACGACCTTGACATCCTCTTTGTCCATACTCTCCAGATACGCGCGTAGCAACGCATCCATTCCCACTTGTGTAGCCTCCTCCAGCCACTCGCCCATCTTCAATGCACGGTACACAGCTCCGGTCTCCCGTTCAAGGTATGTCTGCACCCCAGTCAAAGAGACCTGGCGCCCAAGGTGATGGATGTAGTGCACCTTGCTCGACCGCGCCGACGAATCCGTTCCAGCAGCAGAGAGCACGTCTCCCGCGACGTCACGCACGACCTGCTCCACGGGAATGAAATCCAGGTACCCCTTCCACGATGACCGCTCGGGCATGGGTACTGCCTGAAGACGACGAGCGTAGGCCATGAGATTGTCCATCAGATCCAGGGGAGGCGCGTTGCTCCCTGTCACACTGGAAGGCCGGTGGATGTATACAGGCAGACCGAATTCGCGGTGCGCCTCCTCCAGCAGCCGCTCAGACGCCCATTTGGTCGCCAGATAGCCCTGGCTCGCGTCAGTTGGGGGCGTGAAAGTGGCGGCCGACACCTCGGCGAAGGTAGTCGTGCCGGCCAGGTTAGCAATCCCACTGGACGAGATGTAGTGGAAGGGAATCTGGCGGGAAACAGAGTTCTGGATCAGGGCGAGAGTCGATTCCACGTTCGTGCGTCGCAGGGAGCGGTACGACTTCATAAAGCTGACATCTGCCCCGTTATGAATGACGGCGTCGGCTTCGCGGAAGATGGCTTGCGCTTCGCCTGGGGCGAGTCCCAGGTTGGTATGAGTCAAGTCACCGGCGTGAACAAGGATCTTGTCGTGAGCAGGGATGGCGGACGGATTGCGCACGGCAACACAGTGGATTGTGCTGATGGCCGGGTTAGCAGTCAGCTGTTGAAGGAGAGCTTGGCCGATGAAGCCCGTAGCACCAGTCAGAACAATGCGTAAACCAGAGCTCTTCATAGGCACAGATACTGTCGTGCTGCTGCTGATCTGCTCACGCAGGGCATTGGGCAGCTTCACTTCCTCGCTCCAGTCAATCGTAGTTAGGTGTGGCGGAGAAGCCGTAGTCGAAGCTGCAGGAGATGGAGAGGAGGGCAGAGCGACATCTACAGCGGCGGGTGCAGCAACGACCTCTGTCTCTGGCTGGATAAGAAGGGCCATCTTCTGAATAGTGTTTGCCGAGAACAACTCTGCAAGGGCTATCTCCTTCTGGAAGTGGCTCTTGATCTGTCGCTGGAGGTCGACCAGAAGCATCGAGGTGCCGCCAACGGCGAAAAAGTCCGACTCGGCCACAATATGATGGGCAGCTAGGATATCCTTCGAAATGACCCCCTCCCACAGCTTGACCAATTGAGCTTGTGTCTCATTAAGATGAATAGTCGAAGCCTGCTTGACGGGCTCAACGGCGGGGAGGTCCATGGTCTGTAGCACCTTGCGGTCCAGCTTTCCATGAACAGTGACGGGCATCTGATCGATAGAAACAACCCGAGCAGGCCACATGTACCGAGGGAGCTCCAGGGTCGTGATCTCGAGCGCCTGCGAGCGTTTGTGTTCCGGATAATCTTGGCTGAACACAACATGTGCAACGAGAGCTTGGGTCATTTGATGGAGCGAGACGACCACCTCCTTGAAGACACCAGGTGACGCTTTGGAAATGGCGGCTTCAACGTCCTGCAGATCAATTCGATAACCGCGCAGCTTGACCTGAGTATCGCCCTCAATACGGCCTTCGATGCGCAGGCGTCCATCAGCACCAATGCGGCCCCGGTCACCGGTCAGATGCGCCCGGCGCCATCCGCTGGCCCGCTGCTCAGGACTGGCGTACTTATCATCGATGAACCTGGCGTGGGAGAGCTCTTTGTTGTTGAGGTACCCAGATGCAATCCCTGGGCCACCGAGCAGGATCTGACCTGGAATGCCAATGGGAAGGAGGTTCATGGCTTCATCCACAATGTAGACGGAGTAATTAGGAGCCGTGAAGCCTGCCACGACAGCTCCCTTCTCCATCCACTCCTCAGGATGATCCTTGTTGGTAAGGTAAGGCACAACAAACTTGTTAGATGACATGCTGGCTTCGGTGGGCCCGTATCCGTTCACGAGTCTCAAATCAACTTTGTCAAATTCTTGGAAATCATAGATCATGTTAGCGGTCATGGCCTCTCCGGCACTCACAGCGGTTTTCCACTGCGAGGTCTTAAGGCGGGCCAGATCGCCATGTTGGAACCAGCTGCGATACTCGGATGGAGTGGCGCCAGTGATGGTAATACCCTCGCGGACGACAAGATCCATGAGAGCGACTGGGTCTCCACGGTGGGTGGCAGGAGCGATGAAAAGGGAGGCACCGTTGGCGAGTGCCATGAAAATCTGCCAGACCGAAAAGTCAAAGCTGAAGGCAATCTGCTGTAAAAGAGAGTCATCTGGACCGAATTGAAACTCGGCCTGGTTGCCCTCAATGTTGACCCGAAGGTTTTCATGGGTCAGTGGAATCCCCTTGGGATTTCCGGTCGAGCCACTGGTGTAGAGAATCACCGCCTCGTCCTCGGCCGCAGCACGATTCATCACTGGGAAGGGAGCGGTGCGTGGTAGATCTCCAATGTTGATAGTCAGTGCGGGGCGAGTAAGCATGAGATCCGGTACCTGCGATTGAGTGTGGCCATCGACCAGGAGGACAGTTGGTTCGCAGTCCTTGACAATGGAACGCAACCGAGCCATCTCCAAGCGCAGGTCAAGAGGGACGTATGTCGCCCCAACCCGGAGAATAGCCAGCATTGAACAGATCCAGTCACTGGATGGGTGTTGGAAGACAGCCACACGCTGTTGGCGGCTGACATTGGCACTCAGCAAAGCAGACGCGATCGAGTCAGCTCGCTGGCTCATCTCCTGGAACGTAAGACGCAGCTTGTCACCGTCATTCAATGCCAGCTTCTGGGGATATTGCTTCGCCATGTCATCAATGCGATGAGACAGTGTCGCCGGCCACTGCGACGGGACAACAGAGCCTAAGACAAGAAAGTCAATGAGCTGTGCGCTTGATTCTATATTTCCGGTGGTATACTTACCATTGCCTAAAGTCAAGGCCTTTTCGAGGTCAGACGCCCCGAACAAAGAAACATGACCTCCGGGCTGCTTCGGGTCTTGAGCAAATGCGCGAACCATAGCCAAGAAGCTATTAAGCAGTATCTGGGCGGCGTCGGGGCTGTAAAGCGACTCTTGCAGGCCTATGATGATCAGAGGCCCATCGTCGGCGGTATCCACCACATCGAGAGCAATGTCATAAGCGGTACGACCCATCTCATATTCGACCCCCTCAAAGTGGCAGTCCCCGAACATGCGTTTCTCTCGGACATCCTGACGGTAGTCCATGAAGACCTGGAAGAGCGGACTGTGAGTGGACGACCGAGGCACCTGCAGCTCCGAGAGCACAACATCAAAGGGAACGCGCGAGTGCGCCAATGCTCCGTAGACCTTCTTGCGTGCCGCCTGCACACTCGCTGCAAACGGCTCGTCGGGATCGTATTGCATGCGAAGAGCCAGAAGGTTCAGGTAGTTTCCGATACTGTCAGCAGTTTCGGCCTGGATGCGGTTTGCGTCCGCCATGCCCACCCAGACTTCACGGGTCTGAGTGAGGCGGGCCAGCAGAGCCGAAAATGTAGCTAGGTAGAAGTGCGAAGGAGTCGACTTAAGAGACTGACACAGCTGTCGCACCTGAGCACCAAGTCTAGCGTCCAAGCGCTGCTCGACACGGTGATGGCTGTATCGAGTTAGAGGTTTGCGACTGGCAACAGAGGCCAGAGGCAGAAGGGGAAACTCCAAATTGCTGCCCTTGATCTCATTCTTCCAGAACGTTAGGTCCTCCTGCCACGCCCCTTGGTTGCGTTCCTGGCGTTGTTTGGCAGCATAGTCGGGGTACTGCAGAAGGTCAGAGCTGAGGGCTTGGCCCTGATAGGCTTTTTCGAGGTCAGCAAGGAAGACCTCTAGGCTGACTCCGTCCATGTTGATGTGATGGTAGCCAATGAGAACATAGTGAACAGAGCTGTCGGACGTGGAGGAGAGCAACATGACTCGCATAAGCTTGCCAGATTCGAGGTCGTACACATGCTGGGTCAACTTCTTTGTCGCTGCATTGACATCAGCCATAGTCCGGTATTGCTGGCGCTCCAGCTCCAGCGTAGCCTCTGGCAGAATAGTCTGCACCGGCGATTGTCCATCTTCGACAGTAAAACATGTTCGGAGGGCTTCGTGACGCTGTCCGACGGCGGTAACAGCGCGAGACAGAGAATCAACAGATAGAGGTCCTGTCATCCGCAACAGACAGGTAATATTGAAGGTAGTCTGGTCTTCGAGGTAGAGCTTCAAAAACCAGAAGCGAGACTGACCAAAAGACAATGGTTCCTTGCGGACCGAGAGAACAGCTGTGCTGGGTGTCTGCTGTTTGACGAGAGCAGGGACACTGGCCAAATTTGAGCTCACGACAGGCTTCGTCGCTTCGTCCACGTGAATTGAAGGACTGGTCGCCTCGCTAGTCTGTGAGGAGGATGCGTCCGCCGACCGTGTGGGCGAAACCGACTTGGAGGTACCGGTGGCACTGGAATCCGTGCGAGACGCAGCGGGGCGGACAATCTTATCCTCAAGACTAGGCATGTTTCGTCGCTGCACAACCACCTTCGGCTTGGACTTGGGTTGGGATGCAGCCTTTGAAGCAGCAGCAGCAGCGCCCGCAGCTGGGGCCGAACCCAGGCTGGGAGTCATTTCGGATGGCAGCTTCTCCAAGGCAAACTTGATGATCTCTCCAATAGTAGCACCACCCAGAATGCGTAAGACGGGAATGTCGACCTTCATCTCTTTGAGGAACCAGGAACGAATCTCGACGGTATTCAACGAGTCAATTCCCAAATCATCCGCTGCCTTGCCCGTGATCGAATTGGTCGCTGCATCATCCAGTCCAAGCATGATCTGCAATTTGGCAATGAAGCAATCTGGCATCCTCAGTTAGTTTATCTCATGTGAGACCATCGATCTCTTACTTACCTTTAACGGCCTCATAGATATCGTCTGCCGTGCGAGCCTCGTGCAGCTGGAATCTTAGAGACATCCCCTTTTTGTCCTGTCCATCTGTTTCCTCCACCTGGTCCTCCATGACGACAAGATGCTGGAAGCGCGGGTTGAAGGACCACAGCGGCCGTTGTTCCTCGGAAGCATTCGTGATTCTCAAACCACAAGTAATCTCCACATTTGCGTCGGATCCAGGCGTACCGGCTAAGATGGCTTCGGCAAAGATCGTATGGAAGTCTTGCTCGGACATCCAAACGTGACCACTCTTCAACAGATTGCGCTGGAGGGCTTCACTAGTCTCGCGGGTGACGTATCCGACGCCCATAATGGCACCGATGTTCATGACGGATCCTGCGAGTCCACGGCGTTGACGATTGGCCGCCAAACCGGTCATGAACATGTTCGCTGCAGCGTAGTTGGATTGCCCGATGTTTCCAGTAACACATGTTGCGGACGAGAAGAAGATGAAGAAGTCGAGAGGGCGCTCGGCCGAGAAGAGTTCATCCAAGTTGATACTGCCGACAACCTTCGGTTGCAGAACCCTCTGCATGGCGTCAATATCCATGTCCTTGATCATCGTGTCTATGAGAACCATAGCGCCTTGGGCCACTCCCGCTACAGGGGGGAGAGTCTGGCAGATGCGATCATAAACACCACGCAGACTCTCCCGGTTGGTCACATCACTGCGACAATGTAAGCTTCAATTTTTGGGACTTACAACCTGGGGACAACTTACCCGGCGTAGATCTCCACACGTGCACCAGATGATCTCAGCTCCTGAAGAATGATCGGGTCAATCTTCGGGGTTCGACTAGTCAGAACCACATTCCGAGCTCCTTGCTGGATCATCCATGCACAAAGAGATAATCCTAAAGATCCGGTGAGTCCGACTAGCCAGTATGTCTTGTTAGCCTTCAGCATGGGATAGTGATCCACCGGGCGAATCAGGGCAGGAATGTGGGAGGCCAACTGCCAGTCCACTACCGTCAACGGAGATCCCGCTGCGGAAATCTGCGTAGCCTCTGTGACAGGGAAAGAGTGGCTTGCAATGACCTTTTCGGAAGCCGGGGGGCTCATAGGAGGTCTAGATATAGTCAACATTGCTTCAGCAGGAATGTGAACCTCGCCATGCTGGGCGTGATCACTGAACCAGGATGTCAGTCGTTCAAAGACCGAGGCTGGATGTAGCGAGGCGCGCAACTTGAGAGCCAGCGCACTGGGCTCTTCGCCTGATGAGAGGTCCAGGATCGTGACGGGCTCAGTGGGCGCAAGCTTGTGCAAAGAGCGAGCATGGACTTGAGAATGAAGCACAACCCAATTTGGGCGCTCAGGTGCATTTCGCCGAGTCGTGGCAAAGATAACGCGGATCTTTTGCTGAGAGGCCTGCCATTCCAAAACAGATGCAAGCAACTCATCCGGCTCTGCCACCACCAAAGCTCCACCTGAAGCAATGGAGGAGACTATAGCGCGGCTGACTAGGCGGGCGAGGATAGACAGGATCAGAGCTGTTGGGGATGTATCTGGACGATGCATCATCCAGCTGGGAGGAATGTCCACAATGGAGCTATTCTTATCGGCAAAGCCAATAACCTTCTCCCCTGTAGCCAGAACCGTACCAGCGACAAGGTACAAGTCATTTCCCTTTCGAAGACGCAGAGCCCTTAGTGAGGACACCTCCACACGGATCCTGGTGTATCCTGGAGTCTGTTTCCCGAATCCAGATGTCGACCCCTGCTCCAAAGCGTATGTGTTCCCATTACGCACGAGCTGGACAGACTTCTGGTCCATGTCAACATCTTCCGCAATTGCACGACGGGAGGCATTGTATCGCAGATTCTGAGACCGGTTTAGCTTGATCCTGGGCAACAATTCCTGGCCACCGACAACAGCAATTTCGGGCTCGGTAGACCACAAAAGATCAGCACTGGCAGCCTCGCCACCACGATCGGGCATATTCACCCCAATGAAGCGCAGGGCGGCATCCACAATTCTGGAAGCAACACTAGACGTCTCCGTGATTCGATCGAGATCCAAAAACTGTGACTGTACATGGGGCATCTCAACCATCATGGAGCGACCGAAGCCGAGACTCTGATTCTGGTGCGGGTTGCCAGCACGGGCGTCTTCTGTAACCCAAAGGACGTGGTTTGAGCGCTCGTATAGCAGCTTCAATGCAGCAAGAGAATCTGTTGTCATGTTCTGGAAAACGGGCTCGTCCAAGTCCGACAGATTCAGCGTAAGAAGTCCACTGGATAGGGCGGGCGACATAGCCGCTAGATCAGCGAAATGATCAACAACCTGTACTCGATCGAAGCGAGTGTCAAGCTGCTGTTTGACGAGGTCTCGAACCACACGTACGGGGCTTGAAGCCCCGCCGATGAGTACAACCGGGGTGGCACGATTCACAAGATCGCTCGAGGTACCGAGCGGATTGCGAAGGAAGTCCACTGTTTCATCGACAGCTTGTGAAACGATTGCAGAAGCAGGATATGGAAGGGCATCGGCGTCAGATGTGACAGTATCAACACCAGAAAAGCCCGTCAGCTTGAGTAGCCGATCCCATTCTTCGGTACGAACACAGGGAGACAAAATACGGCCATCGTTGGCACCCAACCACCAACCAGGCAGGGAACCGAAAATGTAACCAAGGCGACTTTGCTCCAGATTAGTGACCTCCAGCATTACCACATAGCCACCGGGCTTCAAAAGACGGCGGAGGTTGCGCAGAGTCGTCTCGAGATGGCTGGTTGCATGAAGCACGAAAGAGGCGACAACGAGATCGTATGACTGCTCTGGGAATCCTTGAGCCACAGGGTCCTTTTCCGCATCCAAGACCTTGTACACCATTTGATCCTGATGACTGGCGAAAATCTCACGAGCATTTTCGAAGAAGCCACTCGAAATGTCGGTGAAGGTATAGCTGCCGAAGCTGTGTCCGACCCGTTGAATCACCTTTTTGGTGGCCATACCAGTACCGGCTCCTGTACGGAGAGAATAGCGTCAGTACCTGTTGCTGGGTTTCAGTGTGTAAGACCTACCAATCTCCAGAACCTTCATATGCGGGTACCGGTGAACAATTTGTTCGACCACACTGGCAAGGTAGTCACTGAAATGACCGATACCCATGGCTTGCTCGTAGTACCGACTGAGCAAATTATCCTTGGTCAGGTATTCCAGGATGGTGGCTCGAGTGCTGATTACATCGACCATATGCTCGCCAATGATGTGCATGACTGCTAGGTCAACGTTGTCGGGAAATCTGGTGTGTCCGTTAGCAGGGTTGACTTTCTGTGAACTATAACCTCGATAGATGCAATACGAACCGCTGGCTTTCAGACTTAATAAGGGCCAGGGTATCTCGGGCCCAGTGGGGTTGGGTGTACCGATGATGACCACTAGCCACCTGCTGGGTTACATGCGTTGCATAGTTGAGCAGCCCCACATAAGGCCCGTCATGCCGGGCAGAATGATCCATGGGGAAGGCAAGGTGAATTTTTCGCAAGTAAAACGTCGCCACTCGCTCGAGGACATAAGCCAATTCATACTCCTCCGCGGTAGCAGCGGCGTCGAAGTTGACGGTCTGCGAATCCGGAGCTGCTGGGCCCCAGACAACACCGCTGAAGAAGGGTCGATCCCGATCCGCATTGGCGGCTTCCAATGGAACTGCATGGATACCCTCCATGCGCGTCATAGTGTACTGTCCGTCGGCAGAGTAAACATCGACGTCACCTTGCGTGTCAGACGCCTTCATCATGGTGAGGACTGCGTCCAAAGGAAAGGTGGACTCGTTGCCGCTGCCAGACGGAGCGCATAGGGCCGGATTAACAGCAATACGATGAATCACCTTGGGCACTTGCGAACACCAGAGCTCACCATCACCGGGGAAGCTCTTTGCGAGCAACACAGCCTGGATGGCCGCATCCAGCATCGCCGGATCCAGCGTGACATTCGCCAAGTCGGCTGCCTCCTGTCGCGTCACTAGACCGGTAGCAATACCCAGCTTGCGCTGCATCGACTTCAAGGCTCGGAAACGCCCGGTATAGCTGTATCCCAAGGGATCCAATGCATTGTAGAATCGCTCGCTAGGCACATCGACCATATCTACGAGAGAAGGACGCTGCATGGGAAGGGCATCCTTTCTGGTCGGGCCATAAGTAATTGCAAGACGGCCCGAGGCGTTCAAGGTCATTTGCGTCGACTCCTTCCCCACGGCGGAGTAGAATGAGAACTGGGCCCGGACTATGTCCTTGGAGTGGTGGGTCACGTCGGTGATGGAGACGAGAATCTCCACCGAAGCATTTTCATCCTCAAAGACAATGGCTTGGCGAATTAGTAGCTCTTGAAGTTCCACCAACTGAATGGACTCATTGCGAGACATGGCGCGAGCAGCATCCACGGCTGCTGAGATATACCCGGCACCGGGGAAGATGATCTGGCCTTGAATGCGATGGCCCGTCAGCCAGGGAAGTTCCTTTAGACTAAGGAAGTTGCGCCAGCGGAATTCCTGTTCAACCCCATCGGGGCAGCGGGTCCCGAGAATTGGATGGCTGGCTGCAGTGCGTTGACGTGTCGCGCGAGACACCCGCGACTCATACCAAAACACACGGTCATGATCCCAGCCATATCCAGGAAGATCTTTGAGCACACGAGGGACCGGCCCCTGCGATATAAATGTGTAGTAACTCGAGAGATCCACAGATCCGGGGGCAAGTCCCTGCCACAACAAGCCCAGGCACTCTGCCATTGCCTCCACATCATTCAGCCCACGTTGCAAAGTGGGGGTGTACGGCAAAGATGTGTCCAGGAGGTCCTGGATTGTCTGCTGCGCCGGGCCTCGGAGAGCTGGATGCGGACCAACCTCCACGGCCATGTTGAATGGGCCCCGGGCAGTGAGGGCTGATTCGACGGCTTGTGCAAACAAGACCGGGTTGACCATGTTGTCATTCCAGTAGGGACCCGTGAGATCCGCCAAGTCAGCCTCTGTGACTGGACCCGCGCGGACGCTAGAACACCAAACGCATTTGGTTTCGGTCGGCGCTGAAGCAACGATACGTGCTTTCGCCAGACAGGAGAGATAACGTTCTGAGCAAGCCTGCATGTGGTGGGAGTGGTAGGCTTTGTCCACGACCAACACCCGGGCGAACTTTTTCTCTTCATCGAGAATCTCCTTGGCTTGCGCAACGGCATCGGCATCACCGGAAAGCGTGACACTGGCCGACGAGTTGACGGCCGCCACCGACAGACGGCCACGGAATTCAGGCTCGGCGCAGAGTTCCTGCGCATCCTCCATCCCTGTACCGACGGCCATCATTGCACCCTTCTGGCCACGAGCACCCTGAGCGAGTTGTGCGCATAGTCCACGGTAATACGCAATGCGAATCGCGTCCGTTGCAGACAAGAATCCTGCAGCATACGCGGCAGCGATTTCGCCCGACGAGTGTCCAACCACAGCGTCGAAAACAACACCAGCGCTTTGCAGCAACTGGACCAGGACTACTTGTACCGCCGTGCACATGGGTTGCGAGATTTCCGCCTTCTTGATGCGAGACACCGATGCATCGGCGGTCAGCTCGGAGGCCAAAGTCCAGCTAGGCCGGTCACCAATAGGGAGCGCCTGCAGAGAGGCGTCCAGCTCCTGAATGATTTGGCGCACCCGAGGCGACTGGTACAAGGCCCGGCCCATGGTTGCCCATTGTGCTCCCTGACCGGTGAAGACGCCCAGAATACAAGGCTTCTCTGGCCGGGACTCTTGCTGCACGATGGTCAGTGGTTGTTTGGCATCGGTACCATTCAATCGTGTCTCGAGGTTGGACCGGAGCCGATCAGTGGTTGCGCCTGAGATGACGGTCGAGAAGGGGAATCGTGAACGGCGAGCTTGTAAGGTCCATCCCAGATCGCGGGCCTTGATAGTCGGGTTTTTGCTCAGGTACTGGGCGTAGGACTCCAACATACGTCGTAGTGCACTCTCGGATGCGGCGGAGAAGACAAATGGAGTGAAACCAATGTCAGTCTCTGTCGAGATAGAAGGAGCGGCAATCGCAGGCTCGCAGGCCTCGATGATCGCATGGGCGTTAGTGCCTCCAAAGCCAAAGCTGTTGATACTGGCACGACGAGGAACACCGGCGGGCAGCTCCGGCCATGGTTTGGCGGCTGTGGCAATCTCCAGATTGGTATAGAATGGTTGGATTTGGGGGTTAAGCTGGTTGAACAGGAGATTGGGAGGAATTGTGCTATTGCGTAGAGCCAGCGACGCCTTGAGCACACCCGCCAAGCCAGCCGTTCCTTCCGTATGACCGACCACGGTTTTGATGGATCCTACAAAGAGACGGCCACGATCCTGGTTATTCTCGCCAGGAAAGAAAGCCTGCCGAATGGCAGCAGCCTCTAGAGGATCTCCGGTCGGGGTACCAGTTCCTTCTTCTGTCAGCATACACCGATTGAATCATAGCGGTGAGGCTTGGCTTACCGTGGGCTTCAAAATATTGGCAACGCTCCTCAGGCTTCAGGGGGTCGAGGCCCGCGCGGGCGTAGGTGTCCTGAATCAGGCGAGTTTGGGCCTCGGAGCTGGGCATGGTGATACCGCGGGTGCGTCCGTCTTGGTTCACGCCCGTTTCGCGAATCACACATTCGATGTGATCGCCATCGGCCAGAGCCGCGCTCAATGTCTTGAGAACCACCGCTGCCACACCATCTCCACGAGCGTAGCCGTCTGCTTGGCTATCCCACATGCGGCTGCGGCCGGTGGGAGACAGCATCTGCAGCTTACTTTCGGCGATATAGGGCTCCGGGCCCAGACACAGATTGGATCCGGCAGCCACGGCCACGCGCGAGCGGCCCGCACGAAGGGTTTGCACCGCCTCGTGAACAGCCACCAGACTGGACGAACACGCGGTGTCGATGGTCATCGAGGGACCATGCCAATCGAAGAAGTAGGAAATCCGGTTGGACATGATACTCCGGGCGGTACCGGTGGACAGGTACATGGGGAAAGACTCTGGATCCCGTACCACAATATCAGCATAATCGCCGCACATCAGACCCACATAGACGGCGGTCTCGGAGCCACGCAGATCTTCCAGTCGCAACCCGGCTGACTCGAGCGATTCATAGACGGTCTCCATGAGTAAGCGCTGCTGAGGGTCGATACAATGGGCCTCGGCGGGCTTGATGCCGAAGAACTGGGCATCGAAGTGGCGATGATCCTCGGTGAGCAGGTAGGAATGGCGCACATTGCTGGTGCCATGGTGCAGGTTGTCGGGGTGGTAAAAAGCATGAGGATTAAAGCGGGTGGGAGGAATTTCGGACTGCACATCGCGAGGGGCTTGCAGCAAGTCCCAGAGCTTCGAGGGTGAGCTACTTTCACCGGGAAACCGACATCCACTGCCGACGATGGCAATGGGTTCCTGGGGGGGTGTGGGTGGGTGCCATTGCGGGGGGAATACTTGGGAATGAGGGGAAAGATTGGGGGTATCAGAAACAATGAAGAAAGGGACAATGGACACAGCACCACCAGAGAGTGGGATTATCTTGTGGGATGAATTTTTGGACTTGAGAGTTCATGGTAGTTGAAGATTTGAGGGACTGGTTTTGTTGACTTTCTCTGCGAGTGGTTCGGAGGGCCTGGTTCGGAGCCGGATGCTGGGGATCGGTGATGGCATTCGGAGGCTACGGATTGCATATCCGCTGCGAATAGGGATGGGAGGATGCAGATGGATCAGGTTGAAAGTCATGTGGAGATTATCTCTTTAACCAGAATGGCACTGTTGGATATGAGGATAGTTTCAAAGTAGCGAGGGGGAGTAGAGATGGAGAGAAGTGGAATGTTGAAGGTGGACTGTTTTCCAGGAGTTCCAAAAGTTGCCCGTCGGTCTTCGCTGCCTGAATGTGTGCCTTACCCGCAAGGCCCCCATAACGCGCCTGGAGTAGATTCTACTATCTCGACAGAACCCATCTGATTCTATGATTCTCATACTGCAATGTAGTCAGAATGGCAGACTTACATTCAAGCACATAGAAAATACGACTTATCGGACTCCAGACTCTCAGAGCAACCCAGAGCCTCTTTTCTTGGATTACGAAGTAGTTCAGTTAACTAACTAACCTGTCACAATTAGCCAGCAACTGCTTATGCCAGCCGAGTATAGCACTAATTGATCTGTTTTGGGTTAGTGAGTCCGGCTTCACCCTCCATTTTTTCCTTTTTTTCCCCTCGCAAACCACATCTCCGACCGTGATTCCACAATCACTATGCAGTTCGCCAGTCAACTGGAGAAAGCTGCGGTCACTGGAGTCGATACGAGGGCCCGACTCCGAATTCCGACCGGCTGACTGGCCCGAACTCGTGGCAGTGGCCCCACTTCGATCGGTCCACGGTGGAGTTCCGGAGTTCCACGCAAGACTGCCGACCAGAGGAATGGGTCTTGGAGCAATGAGCTGAGTACGCTCCTGTGCTCTATCCTCCCATGCTGCTGCTAAATCTTGCAGCCGTACGAATCATCCCGGGGAACTTGCCCAACTGCATCTGTGGGATTGCCTCATCGTACATCGACTGCTAGCTCAAGTCTTTGAGGAATGATAGGAAAAAGCTGTAGTTCCTGGCTTTATCTCCTGCAAAAATACCCCAAGGCTCATTACCGCCAAAGGGAACCTGCATCTACAGTCAAACAGAAAGGCAGATTTGCCACGACAGCATAAAGATTCATTCATCGACGAATTCCTGCATACAACATGATCTACTAGCATTGGCGCCCTCCACCCCCCGGCATCAAGCCCTCTTAGAGATCCGGACCCACACCGTGGGCTGCTTGGTGATATCATCAAATTCCGAGACCAGCGGCAGCTTCCAATCGGCATTCACAATCTCCATATCGTAGCGCATCAGCAAAGCAGCCACCAGCCCGATCATCTGCTTCTCCGCAAACACCCGACCGGGGCAGTGGGTGGAACCACCCCCAAAGGGCTTCGTGGTGCGAGCGTGACTCTCGCCCTCCCCACCGAGCTCCTTCTCCATGAACCGACGCGCATGGAACGACTCCGGGTCCGGGTGCAGCGCCTCGTTGAAGTGCATCAGACCGCAGGGGATGTTGATCACCCCGCCCTTCTGCACCTGCCACGTCTTCTTGCCCGTGAACTTGGTGTCCGCCGTGACCTCACGCACCGTCAGGGAGTTGTTGTGCATGCGCAGCGTCTCGTGCCAGATGGACCGGAGGAGTGGCATCTTCCCGGGCAGGATCTCGAGCATCTCCTCTGGCGAGCGCGCAAGATAGCCGCAGTCCTTGAGTTCCTTCCGCACCTCGTCGGCCAGACCAGGCTCGGCAAGAATGTGAAGCAGGGCCAGGTAACCAGTGGGCATAGAGTTAAGAAGAGAACTAGCACCGTGTCAGTAATGGTTTAGGATGGGTGAAACAGAAGCACTCACGCAAACATCGTCCGCAGCATATCCGCACCTTGCGCTTGGGGGCTGATTCCCTGCTGCGTCAAGTAGACAGTGCGCTCGTACAGATACTGTGAAACATCCTTGCGAGTTTCGATATTTTCGACAAGGTCCGCGTAGGTGTTGATGATTCGATCGCGGGCTTCGTAGGCATTGCGGAAGAGGAACCGCGGGGCGCGGAACAGCAAGCCCCAGAAGCCGTCGCGAACCATGGTGGTGAGATCGTCCAGCAGTCCAGGGTGCTTCTCGAGAGTGGTCGCACCATACAAGACCTGGCACGTCGCCTTGCCCTGCACGTCCACTACCGTCTTGAGACCCGGCCGCACAATGGCCTTGTCCGGAGCTCCCTCGACTTCTGCATCCAGCACGCGCAGCTGCTCCTCAATGCGATGCAGGTAGTGCACGGCGATCTGGTCGTTTTTGTCCGACAGCAGCCACTCGAGATCCATGCGGTGCCACTCGGGCTTGATCTCCCACATGGCGTCGGCATCGGCCGGCTTGAAGCCCCAGATCGAGATGTAAATGAACCGGACAAACCCCCGAATACTCAAGGTCTTGCCATTCTTGTGGATGCCGGCAATATCAGCTGGATCGCTGAAGATGTAGTGGCGACGGCCCCCCATGGGGACGCTGAAGGGTTGTCCGCCCGTTTTGGCGCTGACCTCATTAGCATATGATTCAACCAAATCACATGGAATGCACCGGAGGGATATGCTCACTTGGCCCAGCGGAAAAAGGATCGCTTACTACGAGCGAACCGGAAGGCATGGCCGAAGAAGGGGATCCAGTGTGGGATGAGCAAGGGCTCGTTGGGTAGGACAGGCAGCGAGAAGTAGCGTTGAGCCAGCAGGAAAACCACGGTCACGGCCGCGGTGGCCAACACAGCGGGACTCACCATCTTGACGGTGAATCGTGTCTGTGGTGGGGGTGGTTGTTGGAAATGAATGACTGGTGTGTGGCGAGATGGGCGCTATTTAGGGCGCTGAGTGGGGAGAGCCTCTCCGAATTGGCATCCGAACAGAGCCCGACCCCGAACGTTGGGTCCGATCTGACCACATCTGACCATCAAGAAGGTAAAACCTCCACTGGAAAGACGAGAGAGAGAACAATCACTGAAAACTTTCCGGTCACAACGGAGTAGCGAAAGCTTCCAGACCCATCATGTCTGAAATCCTCGACTCTACCATCGCTTACCTGGCAGCCCTACCCAAAGCGTCCTGGACCAGAATCACCTGGCACTTTGCTGTGGTAAGTATGTCCACCTAGCTAGAAGAGAAAAAAAAATACTTACTATCATCTAGCTTTACCTCGTCTATGCGGTCGCTCGCTCGATCTACAGGGTGTGGTTTCATCCCTTGTCGAACTATCCAGGCCCGAAGCTGGCAGCCGTTACCCATTTGTGGTATGCCCGGCACTGGTCAGTACTCCATCCCGATCTCGAGAAAAATGTAGCGCAACGCTGATGGCACCAGGATGGGCGGAAGATATCCATTTGCGATCGAAGACGCGCATAGACAGTACGGTGGGTGGCTTCTGACGCTTCGACCCCAAAGATAATCAGCATAAGCACTGACAGAGCATAACAGGCGAGGTGGTTCGCATCGCGCCCAACGAACTCAGCTTCAACACTGCCCAGAGCTTCAATGGTCCGTTGCGCACTCCCGATGCGAAAAGACTTGGCTGATGGTCCTAGACATTTATGGACACGCCACCAAGGACCACAAGCCCTTCATCAAAGGCACTTTCTATGAGCATTACCAGCCGGAGCCGGGAATTGTCGCCGAGCGTAACCCGGAAAAGCACCGAGACACGCGCAAGTTGCTGGCTCATGGCTTCAGTGCCCGGGCATTGAAGGCTCAAGAGTCCATCATTCACCAGTACAGTGATCTGTTCCTTGCCCAGGTAAAGAATCTGGGGACCCAGGAGGGACTTAACATGCGAGAAGTAAGCGAGAGCCCCGCCACAGACCATTCGATCGTTCTCTGACGCCAATCTCGACAGTGGTTCAACTTCCTGAGTTTCGATATCATCGGCGAGCTGGCATTTGCCGAGTCATTTGGCGCGGTTGAATCTGGCAAGTTTTTGTTATTTCGAGGTAGACTGCTGGCTTGCTAATCAACGCTGTAGCCAAATCCCACTTCTGGATCGACACCATTCATGACGGCGGAATCCTCGTCACTCTGTTCGAGATTGGCCGACGTCTGCCTCTCCTCTGGCCTTTCATCCTTTTCTCCCTACCGACCGGCATTAAGAAGAAATTCGACCTCTTCCTCAAATACTCGCGCGACCTCGTCCGCTCCCGAGTTGCGCGACAAGAGACGGTCACCCGCGAGGACTTCTTCGCCCGGCTGTTAGCCGACAAGTCCCGCTCGCAGTCCGAGGAATGGCTCCTCGCGCAGGCAAATGTGCTCGTCATCGCCGGATCTGACACTACCGCCACGGCCCTGACCACTCTGGTCTACTACCTCGCAGCCCACCAGGACAAGCTCTGGCATCTCCAGCAGGAACTCCGGGAGACATTCGATGAGGCCTCCGACATGACCAGCGAGAAACTCCAGGGGATACCGTACCTGAACGCTGTGATCGAGGAGGGGTTGAGAATCTGTCCGCCGACCTCTTTCGGCCTGCCCAGAATCTCGCCCGGTGCCATGGTGGGGGGACGGTTGATCCCCAAAGGGGTGAGCCGCACCCTCTGATCTCTTCAAGTCCACGCACCCTGCTAACGAACAACGACAGACGGTAGTCTCCACCTCCTCATGGACGACCGCCCACCGCGAGGATTATTTCCACGATGCAAGGGGCTTTCATCCAGAGCGCTGGCTGCCCGCCACCCATGCGCTCTGGCACGCTAAATTCCAACATGATCACCTTGCCGCGTCGAAGCCGTTCTCGCTGGGCCCGCGCGGCTGCCTCGGAGTCAATCTGGCCTACATGGAAATGCGAATCACCCTGGCGAAGTTGGCGTGGAAGTATGATTGGGAGTTGGTCAATGCGGACCAGCTGGACTGGGAAGGCGAGCTGCGGTTTGAAGGATTCTGGAAATTGCCTGTTCCTCAGGTCCGGTTCTTCTGCATGGATGACTAGATGAGGTCTGGTCGCTGTTGAGTACTTGGATGCATCTCGCAGAGCGCTTGCGACATGTTATACGGATAGTCAAGAATTGCAAGCGTTTAGTTTGTGTAAGAAAGCATTGTTTCCATCTGAGTTAAGTGGTAGAGGAGAAACGAGAGAAGAATCGGTTACCAAGAGACAGATGTTGCAACTACAGGAGACTAAGCCGTCCACCGTAGGTATATTACCTCTCCGCTTTAAACGTCTTTCCTAAGGTATAATGATCTTTCTTCACCAGAGACCCTGTATGTTAGAAGATGTATGCCGCTGGTGCAGACTGTTAAAGTGCTGGTAATCCGTCCACTTCATTATTCAGCCTGCTTTCCTACTGTGTACTCATAAAATAGCCAGTCATGCAGAAGTTCCTATCTGTTAGGGAGTAAGGCATACCTATCAAACCCCTTTGTATAGGAAATGCAAAGTGTGTTAAAGTACATATAATATAGCAGGTTGTTTCGTTGAGTAAACGAAATTGCATGCTGAAGACGGATAATGGACGATTCATTATTTAGAATGTTATTACCATGGGATCGGCAGCATATATATTTAGACTTCTTTCCTAGAAGTCCCACAAGAACCTTTTGCAGGACTGAGGGTTGTATACTTAATCCTACGTAGTATGCAGTACGCATTCGCCTACATGAAGTACAAGGCATTTATCTATAGATCTCTACACAAGATCTTGAGTGTAAGACATAACAAAGAATTATATACAGATTGACAGCGCACAGAGAGGGCCCGAGGCTGTAAGGTCACGTAATGTGGGATAATTTGTAAACAACACGTACGCGCTTAACTAAGAATTCTGATCTTGAAGGCTTTATTTCCTGCCCCTTTCAGGAAGCAACCTCAAAAAGATCTTACTTACAAGACCCAAATTCTCAGCTAGGCTGAGGGACAGTCCACGTAAGTTGTTATATCAAGGTACTGTACTAATTACTGCCCCCCATTCCCCCACGAGTTCAGCATCTGCGCCCGCACGCGATAGAACCATTCCGAAACCACCACATACGCTCTGGGAACAGTCAAGGCTTCGACATCGACATGCTCAATGAAAAACACACCCTCTGACGGCTCCTCCAGTGTCTCGTCATCATGGATTCCCCCCCCTTTCGCTCGCCCCACATACGCTCTGCCCCCCGCTTTCTCCCCCAACTCGAACTCAAACTCCTGATTGCGATACTCTAACCCAAACACCCATTTCTTCCCCTGCCCTGGCGAGACCAACTCTACCTCATACCCCGCCTCCCTCTCTTGCCCTTGTTGTTTCACCGGACGATACAGAATATAATCCTCTGCCTCCGACACCTCGTCGTGGACTGCCGAAAAGACCTTCTCGCCGTGCTTGGTCAAGAAGGCGGACGGATACACCACCCCATTCACGCGGGATGTGGGCTGCCAGAAGCTCAGCACGTAAGGTCCTGCCATCAGCCGCACGGACTCCCACTGCGTCATGATATCCAACCACCCCTTGGCCGACCACCAGCGCTCGTGGCCGCCAAGTCCGGTCCACCGGAAGGGAACGTCATTTACTTTGAGGTCGACGTCGATCAACCCGCCGGGAATGGGCTCCACCCAGTGCAGCATAGGGGCGTTCTGCGTCGATGATGCCTCCGACGGGAACAGCTGGCCGTCCGGGTAGCGTGCCGGCGTGGTGCTGTGCAGGGCAACGACGCCGACCACGTCCGGGGTGTGGAAGTGGATACGGGCCTGCTTGGCGTCGGCCGTCACGGTGAAGGCGTAATAATGGTCTGCCGAGTGGGACCAGATGCCAATCACTTGATCCGGGCAGATGTGCATGGTCGACGCGGAGAGGTAGTCGACGGTGGACCAGGTGGTGCCGTTGTCCCAGACTAAATCCAGCGAGAGGCGGAAGTTGCCCGGCCCCAGAAAGGCGTAGGAGGCATCGCGGTAGATGCCTAGCAGAAGGCCGCTGCGGCCGGACGAGGAGGTCCCATCAAACGCCCATTGTTCTCCCGCGGTGGCGTTCAGGCCCGAAGCAAGCTTGGGGGCGTCGAATTGCTCTAAGGGGGAGGTGGAGAAGTCGAGGAGGGCAGTCTGTGTACTGTCGAAGGCGGACAGACGGTTCACAGTGCAGGTAGAGGGAAGGTCGAGGTCCAATTGCTCGTAAATAGATTGGAGGTAGTTCTCGGGGTTGCCGACGGGGCTGCTGGGGTGGGCGATGGCTGGAAGAGTGACTTCGTACTCAATAGCCAGGAAGTACGCGAGGAGTAGCACGGGCAGAGTGATAGAGAGAAACTCCAATGGTATCCGAGCCATTGCGACCAACAACTGGATGGGTGAATGTAGTAGGACCGTGAAAGTAGAGTCATTCAGTGATTGAGCACCGGAAGGTGATTACTTGGGTGTTTAGGGGGGATGGGATTAGGGCTTGAAGGGGGCCGATTGGCCCGAATTGACGCCGACCGAACCTCCGAATCCGACTCTCCGCAGCTACGATGGCCTCTTCAAGTATGGTAAGTGAAGTAGTAAATGACTCCGTAATCTTACTGACTGTCTGACAACTCAACATGATTGTGCAGCCATATTCCCTCCCAGCCGGGTTCTCCCCCGCGACAGTGTCTCTCCCCTCCCAGCAAACGGTGATCGCTCAGGACGAGACGGGCAAGGCGACCATCTACCATGATGCACCACTCCCAACCCCCGAGCCGCACATGGTGCTGGTCAAGACCGTCGCCGTCTCCATCAATCCCTGCGACTGGAAGATGCCCTCGCGCTTTCCCTCTCCCGGAGCCCGCATCGGCTGCGACTTTGCCGGCACCGTGCTCTCCATCGGTCCTGAAGCCGCTCGCATCCGACCAGACCTTCGCATCGGGGACCGCGTGTGCGGTGGCATCCACGGTTCGAATCCGATTGATCTACCCTCAGGCAGTTTTTCGCAGTATGTGGCAGCCCATGCAGACCTGCTCTTGAAGCTACCCAGCAAGATCTCCTTCGCACAGGGCGCCGTTCTCGGAGGTAGCGTCTTCGCCACTCTGTGGATTGCTCTCTACGAATCTCTTGGTCTGGAAGGGACACCCGATGCGCCTCTACGAGATGATCCACCCCCCGTGTTGGTCTACGGGGGGAGTACTTCCACCGGAACAGCAGCTCTCCAGATTCTGCGCCTGTACGTCGTTGCCCCAAAGGGCAGAACACGTCCACATTCCACGCTCCACACTACTGACCAAGGTATACAGCGCAGGCTATCGCCCCATTGCGACCTGCTCCCCCCACAACAACGAGCTGGTGCGAGCGGCGGGCGCGGAGAAGATCTTCAACTACCGATCGGAGACCTGTGCGGCTGACATCAAGAATTACACCAGTGGCCGCCTTCGCCACGTGCTGGACATCATCACCGATCTTCAATCCCAGTTGATCTGCTACGACACCTTCAGTCGCGTGGGGGGAAAGTACACTTGCTTGGAGCAGCCCGCCGAGGAATTGCATCTCCGACGTACCGTTCGCAAAGAGATGATTGTGGGGCTGGCTGCCAGTGGGAAGGAGATTGCCCTGGCCGATGGCTACGAGCGCTCCGCCAACCCTCAACTGCGCGCTGACAGTGGCAAGTTTTTCCAGACCATTCAGCGACTTGTAGACGAGGGCAAATTTGTTCCTCATCCCGCCAGGACGGTTGAAGGAGGATTCGAAGGGATTTTGAAAGCGCTGGAGATTCTGAAGTCCGGAGGGACGTCCGGGGAGAAACTGGTGGTGTTCCTCGATGGAGGATATCTCTGAACTTATGAATCAGCAGCAATCACTATATGGGAATACCACATAGCTTGAACAATGCAATGATATTAAACTACAAGCTTCGACTACCGCGTAACGTTGAGATGCTGATCTAAGAACCGAAACGTCCTCTGCACCACCAGTCCAATCGCACCGATCTTGGCCTGTAACCCGCCTTCCTCCGGCGCCCTCGCAATCCAGATCTCGCGCTGCTCGTCGCCCAAATGCGCCAATGCATCAAAGACCCGGAGCACATCGCTCTCGGGCTCCAGATACAGCGACTGCGTTGCCCCGGACACCAACACCGGACACTGGACCTGACTCAAGCGACTGGTCCCATCCGCGTGGGCCAGCGTATACTTCATCATATGTCGCAGCGTCTCCGTTGGTGAGTCAACGCCGAAGAACCACATGGCGAGGCCCACCTCCCACTTGGCCTGGAAAGAGGCTGCCATCGCCAGCGACATGACACCGTTGACCACACTTGAGGGCACCCATCCGGCCTTCCACGCGTCCAGCATTGCTGGCGAGACGTGGTTGCGTACGAAGTCCCACATGTCGTAGAAAGGGTCGATCGAGACGCAGGCCCTAATGCGCGGGTCGGCGGCCGCTCGTAGAGCATAGTAGCCCCCCATCGAGGCCCCGACAACCGCCACGCGCGACAGATCCAGTTGCGCGGAGGGGTCTTGTCGCATGTACGCCGTCATGAAGTCGAGGACGCGGCCGACGACGACCTCCCAATCCGGACGCATGTGCGTCTTATCGCGACGGAGCAAGATGCCCTGGCCTGGACCCTCGAAGGTGAGCACGGCATAGCCCAGTTGCGGTCCGCTGGCGGCGTATACATAGTACAACTCTTCTTGGATGGAGTCTGCGCCGCCGAGGCTGAGCAGCAGAGGCACAGACTTGGCTCGGTCGCGTGGGAGGTAGAGGTATGCGGGGAGTTGGTGGCTTTCGAAGGGGATGTTGAGCTGCCTGGCTTCCCCTGTGTCGAGCAGCGGTAAAGTGAGCGCATAAGTGTCTAGGACTTGCTGCGCCAGGGGTAGAACACGAGCGTCCGGTGCCCCTGGCCGGTCGTGGAACATGTAGCCACTGGCGCGGTAGTAGTTTGAGGCCCGGAGGTAGGCTCGTCGCGCGGAGACCTTGTTACCAGAGTGCAGGGCTTCGTCCCCGAGGGCTTTAGCTTTGTCGGCCTGAGTGAGCCACGCTCGATGCCAGCTCTCTGGATCATCGTTGGTGATTTGGCTTGCGGCCACCAGGCATTCGGCGATTTCGGCTCCACCGTAGGGGGCGGCCGAGAGGATGCGGATGAATTCGAAGTTGAAGAATTCAGATTTGAAGAATCGATGCATGATGAGAGATGTGGGGTGTTTGATTCGGAAGGGAATAGTCGCATGGTCACCTCCAGCTTGGGAAGTGCTGTGTTTTGATCCTAACGGTGGGTGGTATAGTCATAGACTCTGCCACGGCGACATCTCCGACTACTTCGGGAGGCGTGGCGAAGAGGCCCGAATCCGAGTCCGACTGCCTCAGCAATAAAGTCTTTGCACAATGCGTGTTTGACACTAATTGTCAGACCTCACAGTCAGTCGTTCTCAGACTCAATCAACCCAGTTATTCTCAAGCACACCACAATGGCGCTCGATCTTATGATTGTCTCCGCGGGCAGCCTAGCCCTAAAGCTTCTCCGAGTGACTCCTCAGATCACCACCACCATCCTGTACGCTGGCGCTCCTTGCGATTCCCTCTTCTACCAGCCAAGTAGAATGCAGCTAACAAGCCAAACAGCCTCATGAATCGCCTGGCCCAATACTTCGCCCTCTCCACCTTCCTGCCCCCTCACACCTCGCCGAAAAAAATCGACCACGTTGGCGCCGCCTTCCAGCACTGGCTGCAGACTGTCGTTCCCCGCGTCTGGACCGGGGTCATTGGCATTGTGCTCTTGACTCGGGTGGCCCTGATCCTGAACCTCTTCGTACGCCCGGATGACCTCGCCGGAAGCAACGCCCGCTTTCTTTATGGGGTTGGACTTTTCCTTTCGTTTGCGCACTTGGCCGTGGCGCCGAAAATGTTGAAGTTCGAGAAGCGCATGATGAGCCCCGAGACGGTACCACAGGTTGCCATAGAGTTGCTGGCCGGCTGGATGAAGGTCAATAACATACGGTTCTGGGTGGTGGATGTGCCTTTCTGGGTGGTTGGGGTGTGGGCCACTATTGAAAGTCTGAATGCCTAGATGAAAGAATTGTGTTGAAGATTGGTATGTCTGGAGGGTTATTCCTGAGGAAAGGCAATGGAGGTGTACAGGTAGAAAGTGAAGTGCAGAGTGATAGCATCAGTCTACTACAATTCTGGTTGCGAGTGGGGATAGCATGCAAATTTGAGGTTGTATGCTCGGAAACGGTGATCTTTGGATTCTAGCTAGGTGAAAATTGTGAATATATCTGTCTTTGTTTCTCTACGCAAAACAATTTTGAAGAAGACACGCAAGGTGAATGACTCCTTTACTTAAAGGTATGCATATATTTTTTTTTCCGGGCGAATTCAACAAAATTATCATTTCTCTCACACGCACATTTGGCAGAGATTTACACACAACACCACTTTCCAGGATACACACCCCAACCAAATTTCAACCTACCACCGTCTTTTCTCGAACAACCCGACGGTACTGCAACACCGGCCCAGTCTTCGCACCAGTGACATGATCCTTGAGCTTATACTCCTGCTGGATCTCCCCACTGGGGACAGCGCGGAAGTCATACCGCCAGATGATGTTGGCCAGCGTTAAGAGGGCTTCCATCTGGGCCAAGCCTTTACCGATACAGCTCCTGGTTCCCAGAGAAAACGGCATGAATGCACTGCGCACGTCGCCAGTATCATCTACCAACCAGCGATCGGGGTCAAATTGGAAGGGCTGCGGGTAGATGGTTGGGTTGTGGTGGGCAGCGTAGATCCCCACGCCCACATCATAGCCTCCGGGCACGAAACAGCCATCGACCGTGGTGCCACCAGCCTCGACCTCGCGCCAAAGAGCACTCCCGGCTGGTGGAGACATGCGGAGGGCCTCGTCGATGCACGCCCGCAGCAGCCGACAAGAGTTTAATTGGCTTCCTCCCCGGATTTCCTCTTCCGAGTTGAAGCATTGACGGACTTCCTGAGCCACTCGATGGTAGACTTCGGTGTTTTGACCAAGGTAGAACATCGTTGCGGCGAGAGTAGTGGCGGTGGTATCGGAGCCTGTGAAAAAGAGGTTAGAGAGCCCCGGCGGTACTATATATGGTGCTCAAGGGAGAGCGATATACTGACCAGCAACGATCAAGGTGGCAGCCTCCCCGCTGAGTTCATTCATGTCCATAGATTCGCCAGTAACAGCATCCTTACTTGTCTGGAAGTACGAAAAGATATCCCGGTCGGTGAGGAACTTGCTTTTTAGCACTCGTTCTTTGACCGTGCTCTTAATGAACCGGATAAAGCGGTTACGACCGAGGATGGACTGGCCGAAGAGCTTCTTGTCACTCCGGAAGAGGGTGATGATCGGCGCTTGCAGGAGAACACTGACCCGCACGTTGGAATCTTCAATGGCGCGAATCACCGACCGATAATTCTCTTGACGGAGAGTGTCGTATGATGCACTGAAGACGAGTGAAGACATGATGTCGAAGGTCAAGTAGTCAACTAGATCGATAGTCCTGATGTTAGGGGCAACTTCTGTCTAATCGGGATGAGGGTGCACTTGGACTTACACCACTTGGCCATATCCTGCGGCGCGCTCCACTCGCTCTCCGAGCTGGCATCCTTGACAATCAGAAGATCACAGAGAGTTTGAATCAGTTCCTGCACGCGGGGCTCAAACGAACGAATGGCTGCGTCCGAGAAACCGTGGCTCATGATGCGTCGTCGCTTTGCGTGCTGCTTCTTGTCGCGCATGGTAAGGGTGTTGGCCGTGCGATGGACCAGCGTATCGTATACTTGCGACTTGCGAACCTTCCAACCATAGCCATAGATGTCTACAAGTATGGTCAGACCTTCAATACTCACCCTCGCTTCAAGGCTGTCGTACCTGAGACGGCTTTAGCAGTGTCAAAAGCCAGCCGATCCGGAGCATATCGGATGTGGTTGCCTGATGATTCAATGAGTGACTGGCCAGGAGAGACAAGGCCATGAATAATCACCATATTGCTGATGGCAGCGCCAGATATCCTCATGAATGTCACCTTTCCATGCGTGGTAGGCAGCATAGAGATTCGTGATTCGGCCGAGCAACGGTCCAGGGTACCGCGCAAGTGGGTGGAAGACGAGACGATAAATGACCAAGCCCAACAACTACCAGGATAGCAGGTTAGCAAGCAAGTCAACACAAGAGATCAATGTAACAGAACGTACATAGAGAGCGAGGAAAAATGCAGCAATGGTCGTCGCTTTCACCAAGGCCACAGGGGCGTTCAACAACACTCCGAGCATTGGATTCATTTTTTCTCTTCTGTAGTGCTGGGCTACTGACCTTGATGGCTGCAGAGTCTGGTCAGCAAAACATTATCTATCGGCAAGAAATCCTCCTGCGAGCCCGACTCCGAGGCCGGAGATCCGACTGGGCACCTGCGACCCCGAATGCAACTGATATATGTACATACTAGCGATTCATAACAACAGCTATGTCCTCTGTGGCAACAATCGACGACGATCAGATTCACACCCTTACTCTTTGACTCACTGAGCGCTATGGCACCCAAAGACTTCTTTCCACCTGCCCCACTCGACCTTGGTATGTTTCTTACAGTACAGAGTACACTGCTTTGACTATGGGAAAGGCTGACGCTTCTCAGACTGGGATAACATCGGCATCAAAGTCCGTGAGGGTAGGTCCTCTTCAAAGCAAACCGTCTCATTTAGTTGGTCATCTCACAAAATCTAGTAAATGGACATATTCAATGTCGCTACAGTATTGCGACTGAATCTTGGAGTGAGCCCGAAGTTGTCAAGGGCATTGACCTGACTATCAGCGGACTCTCTCCTGCTCTCAACTATGGTGGGGCTACCTTTGTGGTAGTGATAATCTGGGCTAACATACCGGGACATCATAGGTCAGCAGGCATATGAGGGAATGAAAGGTAGGCTTCTCTTCAGTCTGATGCAATCGATTCAATGACCAAGCTCATGGCCACACACAGCCTTTCGTGACCCGCAGGGTCAGATCCGCATCTTCCGCCCGGAAGTGCACGCAGCACGCATGGCCCATTCCTGCGAGGTCGTTTCCATTCCACCCATTCCCCAAGAGCATTTTATTCGATCGGTGGCATTGGCCGTGTCGGTGAATGCCGAGTTCGTACCTCCCTTTGACAGCAGCGCCGCCCTTTACATTCGACCGCTGGTGTTGGGCTCTGGCCCTCAGATCAATCTTGCTCAGCCTGATGAGTACACATTTTGTGTTTTTGTTCTTCCTGTCACCAGTCTCCTCGGCACTAAGCCAGTAGATGCTTTGATCATGGAGGAATTTGATCGAACAGCTCCAATGGGAACTGGAAATGCCAAGGTCGGTGGAAACTATGCCCCTGTTCTGCGGTGGGCTGCCAAAGCGCGCGCCAGGGGGTATGGCATTCCACTGCACCTCGACAGCAAGACACGTACCGAAATCGATGAGTTCTCGGCTGCGGGCTTCATCGGGATTAGACATGATGATAATGGGGGGACTACCATGGTTGTGCCAAATAGTTCGTGTATCATCCAGAGTGTCACCAGCGACAGCTGTGTTGAGCTAGCACGGTCGTATGGCTGGCCAGTGGAGGTCCGACCGGTTCGTATTTCGTCTTCCTGTCCTTGCACGTTCACTGAACATACTTCTCATCATCATCGTCACTTAGATCAAATACACCGAGCTGCCTGAGTTTTCCGAAGTCCTGGCGGTAGGCACAGCGGCAGTGCTCGTGCCCATCGGATCCATCACTCGCGACTCGCTCAAGGATTTGATCGTATACAAGCCCTCGGAGGATGGAGGCTACCCATGTGCAGACCGACTTTTCAACTCGATCAAACAGATTCAAAGGGGGTTGAGCAAGGATGTCTTCAACTGGTGTGTGTCGGTGCATGAGCCAGTTGCATACTTCCAGTCGGCCTCCGACCGAGAAGCCGCTGCACTGGCCTGATTACTTATGCTATACCTATATCTGAATGTGTTTAATGAGTAGTACTTTGCTTTACGTTTGTGCTATGGTAATATATCTCCCTTGGGCTTCGTTTGTACTTTGTAGGCATGTGAGATATCTGGGGTCACATGACCTCGGATCTCGCCACCTCTTGGAGGAAGGCCCACGTAGCCGTAACTACTACTAATATATATATATATTTATTCTTACAGATTATAAGCCCTTGTAGCTATATTTCTTATTAAATTTAATCTTTTTTATTATTTATTATCGAGAACTTTCTATATATACCGATATTTATAATATTAACAGCTTTTTATATTTTTATTTAATAAATTATATAAATAGTAAAGTAGAAAAATCTTTAAAATATTCTAATCGGTTTAATAATCAAATCTAATATTTACTAATCTACCGAATTAATTAATTATATACTTCTATTATACGAGCGGTATAGCCATATATTATATTATAGTATTAATTAAAGATTTTTTTAATATTAATATTTCTAAAATTATATTAAAATTAAAAAATTAGTCTAACTAACTGATATAATAATATAATCTATATAATTATCTCAGATCTAAAAATTTAAATATTTAAAAATTATTTTAAAGCAAATATACTGCTTCCGACGAGTTTATATTATATAATAAAATTAAAAATAAAAATATATAAAAATTTATTTATAAAACTACTAATAAAAACATCGTACTGCTAATTTATATAGATATATAATATAATATCGATAAAACTAAATAATATAATTATATACTCCGCGCTATATATAATATTAAAATTAAGAAATAGAATTAGTTAAACTATTTAATTTTAGTTATTCTTAAAGTAATATACAAGGCCAGTTTTATAGTATATTTTTAAAACTATAAAATAACAGCTGATATATATATTTTTTTTATAAAAAATATATAAGTTTTAAACTTCGCTACTATTATTTATCTATATAATAAATAAACGTCTATATATTATAATAATACTACTAATTAAAATATATTTCTTATAAAATTTATAAATACTTTTAATAAATTATACAGTATTAAATCTATTAATAATTAAATTAAACTTTTATAATTCTTTATAGTTATATAAAATATTTCTATCTTACAGCTGTTTATTATTAATTAATATATAATATTAATAAATAAATTTTTTTTTCTACAGTTTATATTTAATTTATATAATTTAAATATATATAAAAAAATCAGTTCTTACAGTTGTTAGTTTATATTATAATTAATAAGATTTTTTAATAATAATATTTTTAATTACAGTAGTAATTACAGCGGCTGAGGCCGAAGCAGAAATTATAATTATAAATATAATAATAATTATAATTATAATAAAAATTAATTAAATTTAAATATTTAATATAAATAAAAATAACTTAATACTGCAGATAGAAACTTAATATTCTATACTTTTTATTAATATAATAAAAATTATTTCTTCAGTAAGTATTTATTAAATCCAGTTAATAAAAAAGATTTAAATATATATATTAATATAATATTTATATTTATAAAGACTGTACCGCCGTTTGAACTTCCGACTGTTAATATTATTAATATTAATTTTAATTTTCTTAATATTTTTATTATCTTAATTTATTTTAATATAGTAACTATAGTCTAAAAAAATATATATTCAAATTATAAATATAATTAAATATTTAACTCCGAAACTATAGGAAGTATAATATATTCTAAATATTATTTTAATATTTTTATTTTTTATATATATTAAACTAAAACTGCTATTAACGAAGTCTTTTATACAGTTGGTTATAATATTATATTTATTAAATTTATAAATAAAAACAACTAATTATATAAAATATTAAAAATTAATTATATTTCATATATATTAAAGTTATTATATAATCTTATTTTATATAAACAGCTTATACGTCTGGATATATATATATATATAAAAATTAAGAAAATTACTGTTTTTATTAAAAACAGCAAATAATTAGATTATACTATAGCAGATAATAAATAATACTTTTTATATAATACTAATATAATAAATTATAATATTATATTTAAATTATATAACTGTAGTTTTTTAACTTATTTACTATTTATTAAAAATACTGTTAATACAGTTTCTACTAATATTACTATTAATATAATTAAAAAAATAGTTTTTTTATTAATTTTAATTTATCTGATATACCGATGTGCGGTTTATATTTCTAAATATAAAATATATAATTTTTTAAACTATATTATTAATTTTAATATTAAAAAAAAATATTCTAATAATATTATATAATCTTTATTTATATAGTAAAGAATAGATACTTTTAGTTTTATATACCGAACTATATAATTTTAATTTATAAATTAAAAATTTTATATATATCGACGTCTGCGGCCTGCTGTTTATATATAATTAAATTAATATTTATTATTTTATAATCTTTATAGACTATATTTTTTATTACTGCTGGATCTTTTTTTTTAAAAAATATAGTAAAATATATAATAAATTTATTATAATATAGAACTATTTTAAATATTAATTAAATATTAATATTAAATATATTTACAGTAATAATATACTAAAATACCAACTGCTTGTAATTTACTATTAGAAACAGAATATTATTTAAAATTTTATACTATACTATTATTCTAATTTAAATCTAGTTACTAAAATTAAAAACTAATATTTTATTAAATTTTATATTTTAATTATAACTGACAATCAACTGCCTCACTATTTTTAAAATTATATTATTCTTACTATTAATTATATATAAAACTGATTAGTATATAATTTTATTAAAAAAATATTATATAAGATTTTATATAATATATAATTAGATATCTTTTATTAAAGAGCCCTCGGCTGCTGCTGCTGATATCTTACTTTTAAAAAAATTTATAATAAACTAAATAATTATATATAAAAAGACTGCTTTATTAACTATTTTAAATCTGTTTATAAAATTTATAATATTAAAACTTATTAAATTATCTATACCTGTAATATTATTTTTAATAAAAAACTAATTTTTTAAATATCTATTATTATATTTATATATAATTTTAATTCTATATACAGTAGTATTTTTAATATATAAAATAATTCTTAAAATAATATCTACTATTAGTTTTTATTTATTATATTTTTTAATATTAGAAACTATTTTAAATAAAGTTTTCCAGCATTCCAACTCCGAAGAAAAAAAATAGTAATATAAAATCTAACTAATTTATTAAATATAAACAAACTGATATATTACTTCTGTTAAATATTTAAAATAATACTATATATAATATACTTTCAGATACTTTTAATATACTGTTTTTTACTATTAAAAATAATATTTTTAATAATAAACTAATAGTTATTAATTTTTTAATTATTAATAATAATATATTTTTAGTATCTACAGCTATAGAAACTATATTATAATAGCTATTATATTATTTAATTTATATTTATAAACTGTTTTATATACTTTTTAAATTACTATAATTATATATTATTAAAATTAATAATAATCTAGATCTTTATATTAATACTTTTTATAAATTTTTTTTTAATAATTAATTTATTTATATTTTATATTTTAATACTGCAGTTATACAGCCATCTGTAGATCTATCTTCAGATTATAAAAAGTCTTTTATTATAAAAAAATTAATATTATAAAATGTTAGTTATACTTCTACTATTTATATTAATACTATAGCTTATATTAAAGTCTTTAAATAATATAATACTATTTATTAAAAAATATAACAGCAGATTAAATAAAATATCTTCTATATTATTTTTTATTTATATAACTTTCAGCTTTTATTTTTTAAATAAATATAAAAAATTAAATATAATAGTATATATAAGACTTGTCTTATTATTAAAGACTTCTGCTAACAGACCGATAAAAACTATTAAATAAATAAGATCTATATTATAGTAGTAAAAAATATTAATTTTAAAATTTTTATTATTCTTATTATTATATTTAATTAAATATTATATAATCTTAATATTATTACTATCTTTTTTATTATCGAACTATACAAACCGATATATATTAAATTACCGAAGAACTTTAAAAAAAACAGTAAATATAATATATTTATAAAATTATTATATAGATTAAAGCAGATATTATATAAATAATATAATATATTTTATAACTTTCTTACTGTAAATAATTTTAAATATTTATATATAGATTATTTTATATTTATTAAAAAGTATCTTTTTATATTTATTTATATTAATAATATTCTTCTATTAATACCGGATATTTTTATAATTAATATTTTTAAAAAACTGCTGAATAATTTTATTAATTTTACTAATAATAATCTTTATATATACTTTTTTAATATTAATATTATATAAATAAATAATAATATTTATTTCTTATAGAAGTTTTATATTAAAAACTATTTTAAATATTTCGGCCTGTTTATCTGTAAATCTTCTTTTATATTTTTTGACTATAAAAATCCTTTATTTAAATATATTAAAACTGTCTAATTAAATAATATTAAATTATACTAAAAATATAATAATATTTTAATTTAGATTATATTTAATATTTATTCTGATATTATATATATAATCAGTAAGTTATTATTCTTTATAGTAAATTCTAATAAGTCTTATATTTAGATTATAAATCTTATTTAATATTATTTTTTAGATTTACTAAATTATTATTTTTTTTATTAATATAGAGACTTTAATTTTATTAGCTATTATAATACCGACTGGACCGGTTTTTATATTTTTAATATTATATTAAATTCCGGCTATATCTTTCAGCTTGCTGGCAGATCGGTTTTTTAAAATTTAAAAAAATAGATTATTATAATACTATTCTCCATCGAAAATAAATATATTATTTAAGCTGTTATAATCTAAAAACTTCTTTAGCTTTAATTTCTTTTTACTAAATTAAATATTTAATATTTTAATATTATATCGATATTAATAATTAAATCTACTGTAATTTATATTAATAATCAATCCGCTATCGTCCTAGCCAAAAATCTAAAATTCTATATAAAAACTAAATATATATTTATTAAATAATATTTTATATAATATAAAATATATACTAAAAATATTAAATTTATTTATATCAGTACAACAGACCAAGCAGCTGATAGTTTTATAAAGCTGTTTAAATATTTTACTTATTTTTATTTTATTAAATAGCTTGATATGGTGGATCTTATCTAATATTTCTATATCTATATTTTCTTTATTTTCTATTTTAAAAATACAAACAGTTTTATATTTTTTTTATATATAATTCAGTACCGATTTTTTTATTTATAAGAGATATGAGATATCTGGGATCACGTGACTTTGGATCTCGCCACCTCTTAAAAAAAGGCCTACATAGCCGTAACCACTACCAATACACACATACGTTTACTCTCACAAGGCAGATTCGATCGTATCCATCTAATTCCAGAGAATCGTAACAAGTATCTTGACCCAGCATATCCCCGTAAGAAGTGCTTCGGATTGTAACTGCCGTTGCATCGCAAAATAGAGGGTTGTGACCAGCTGTCCATCACATACGACCAGAAGACGCCTCACACACTTGTCATCCAAGCAAGATAGTATCACCCCGCATGAGGGCTGACAGCTCCTTTCGGTGCCCAGCCCTAAGCCGCCCCTCCGATATCCGACTTGGGCTCCGACTTCACGGAGGACATTTCGGATAGTAATCCTCCCTCATGATGCACAGACAACTGATTCAGTGTATATCTAACGCAGTTAAAGCACCAGTCACCCTACAGATCAATCACATCACCCTCTATTCAAATCTTCCGTCATCATCATCACACCGCGGTATCACAAGACCGTCCCAATCCATCTCCATCATGGCCACCGCAATGACCGCCACTGCCACCCCTGTTCCTACTATCGCATCTCATGCACAAGACACAACACCCCCCCACCCCCTAAAGGGGACATCACTACTCCCGTGCTTTTTGCCCAGTACTTTCAGAAGCCCAGCACGGGATACATGTTCATCAAGAACCCTCCTCCCGCGGGGGTTCCCTACACCAACATTCGTGGCGAGCCCGCCATGGTCACCGTCGAGGACCTCCGCGGCAAGGAGGACAGCGTCAATCTCGACCACGACTCACTCCAGGTCCTGCAAGGCCTGACTGATGTTCCGCGCAGCCCCGAGGTCAACTGGGACAGCATCCAAAGCGTGGAGAAGACCTTTTACCCGGCTGTCGAAGCGGCCGTCAAGTCTGCCATTCCCGGCGCCCACACAGTGCATATCTTCCGCCACGGCATCCGCCACTCGCAGAACTGGCCGGTGCCCTACAATCCTCCGGCCATGATCGCTCATCTGGATCAGACGGGCCCCGCCGCCATCAACCGCGTTCTTCGACATATGGGCCCCGTAGAGGGACCCCGGCTGCTGCAAGGTCGCTACCGCATCGTGCACTTCTGGACCCCCCTCAATGGGCCCGTCTACACCTGTCCGGTGGCGGTAGCTAGTTCTGCCACGGTCAAGGATGAGGATATCCAGATTTTTGTCAGTCATCTTGGAGGCGTAGGTGGGCTGGACATGCCTCTTGGACGGCCGGTCGCCAAGCCTGACGCGGCGGAGCAATACCGCGAGGACTTTGGGGCCCCCCGCTATGCGGATGGACAGCGGTGGTTCTACCTCAGTGGCATCACCCAGGATGAGGCGTTGTTGATCCAGATCTTTGACTCCAAGGCGTTGCAGAAGGACAGTTCCGTCAAGGGAGGCAGAGCCGTGCATTCGGCTTTCCGCGATCCCCGGACTCCCCAGGGAGCCCCCGATCGGTGGAGTATTGAGGTTTCCTGCTTGGTCTTCAGCGATGAGTGATTCGACGAATCATTATTGATTAATGTTTGTATTTGATATTCTCGGGCCTGAATTAGTTACTCTTATTGTCGCTTGGCTAGTTCCTAATTGAGTATGAATTCTCCATGAATTATCTACCACCTCACTGTGTCTTGTTGCTCTATACTCCGCAACCCTACTAAGCTCTTCAACCTTAAGTACATATACTAATTCATGGACTCCGAACCTATTGACATATCCAGAACTTACAAGGAATACTCAATGCCCAGCTGTGGTTTTCAGTCTAGTTGATGAGATTCTTAGTTTTCCTCAGAATCGCAAGCCACATGCTGAGGAATCCTGCTTCGCATAACTAATTGCTTATGTTGGTGATTACCAATCGATTCGACCAATGATCGTCTCGAGGTCAGCTTGTTGTGCATGAAATATGCAGGAAAGGGTCTAGAAGTTCGGCGACCTTTCGGATTCGGACTCGGACTCGGTGATGAGTATGACATGGTGAAGCAAACAACGCTGAGCCCTATTACTATGCCCTACATCTTCTTCTTCTCTCGTTGCATCTTGGCTCAAACAGGGTGACTACTGTGGATCGGTCCCACGGATTCGACCAACAATTACCGTCATCATGTCAACCTCAGACCGCACGAGCGAGATCAGTGACGTGGAGAAAGCCACCGCGGCTGAGACGCTCAAGGAAGTGCCCGCCAGCAATGCTGCGGGATCCACGGCCTTGACTGGCCTGCCCTTGTATACGGTGCTGGTCGGGCTGGGGCTGGCTCTATTCCTGGGAGCCATGGATATGGCCATGCTTGGCACGGTTAGTCCAGATTTCTTCCTCCTCTATGATGATACTATATCGGCTAACTCGAACGTGTCGTGTCTTCGATAGGCCGTTCCTTCCATCACTTCAACTTTCCATACGACCGCGGATATCGGCTGGTATGGCGCTGCATATCCCCTCACCATGTCCTCCATCCAGCTGCTGGCCGGCAAGACCTACGCCCAGTTTCCGCAGAAGCTGGTGTTTCTGATCTTCTTCGGGTTGTTCATGCTTGGCTCGTTGCTCTGCGGAGTGGCCGTCAACTCGCCCATGTTCATCGTTGGACGGGCGATCGCGGGAGCCGGTGCAGCTGGGGTCTTGTCGGGCACGCTGGCCATCGTCTCTGCGGTGGTGCCCCTGGACAAGCAGTCGCTCATCCTGGGTCTGATGATGTCGCTCGTGGGCACAGCCGTTGTGCTCGGCCCGGTCATCAGCGGTCTCCTGACGGACCACAGCACCTGGCGCTGGTGCTTCTACCTGAATCTGCCCTGTGGCGGCGTTACTCTCCTGGCTCTGGTCCTCTTCTTCCGTCCGCCCAAGAGGCCCGCCCGGACGACCCCGCTGTCCCTCCCGGAGCTGATCAAGAAGCTTGATCTGGCGGGTTGTCTCGTCTTCATCCCCGCGGTAGTCATGCTCCTCCTTGCCCTGCAGTGGGGCGGCGACGGCAGCAAAGAGCACGCCTGGAACTCGGCCACCATCATCGGCCTGTTCTGCGGCTCCGGGGTGTCACTCATCCTCTTCCTGGTCTGGGAGTACTACCAGGGGGACGACGCGATGCTGCCGCTCAATTTCTTCAAGGACCTGACCATCATCGCGAGCTGCCTGTACGGCTTTGCTTTGCTGGGTGGTTACGTCGTGGTCGGCTACTTCCTCCCCGAGTGGTTCCAGATCATCAAGGGAGCCAACCCGCAAAGCAGTGCTGTCATGTTACTTCCTAACGTGATCACCAACTTCATCTCCAAGGCTGTAATCGGAGTCATCGGTATGCTTTCTCCTTGCCCGTGTCCATCGCACCAGCAGAGCCCTATCCCCTTGCTAACGAACCCTAACCCCTACCAGTCAACAAAACCGGCTACTTCAACCCTTGGCTCTTCTTTGGGGCAGCTGTGCTTGCCATCGGCTCCGGCTTGGAAACCAACTTCCACCCCTCGACGCCACGGCCCAACTGGATCGGCTACCAGATCCTGCAGGGCGCCGCGCTCGGCATTATCCAGGCACCCACCCTCGGGGTGCAGGTCGCCCTCGCCAAGCAGAAACATCTGATCCCCGTGGCCCTGTCGCTGGTCATCTTCTTCCAGTACTTCGGCAGCAGCATTATGCTGAGTATCTCATTAACCATCTTCCAAAACCTGCTGCGGCCTGGGCTGGTGAACAAGGCGGGCATGACCCAGGCGCAGGTGCAGCAGTATGTCGCCGCGGGCAACTCGGAGGTGCGCCAGTTGACAGCCCAAATTGACCCCTCGCGCTTGGGCGTCGTGTTGCAGGTGTACAACGATGCGATCGCGGGGGTTATGGTACGTTCGCTTGACATTTCCTTTCGTCCCTGATGTTTATGGTGGATTTGATGCTTTGGGGCGTGTGGTGTGAGGCTAATTTGGAGTTGTGATGTGTAGTGGCTTTCGACAGCGGCGGCATTGTTCGGGTTTGTCGTGTCCTTTGGATTTCCTTGGAAGAGTCTGAAAGCGCAGACAGAGGAGAACAAGAAGGAGGCGGCGGAGGCGGAGGTGGCAGCTGCAGAGGCTTGAATTGCTGAATCTTAATTGAATGGGTTGGTAGAGGGCTAGGGAAGTGGTGGTGGAACGGTAAAGACGATGCTGTGGCGCGCCGGGAGTTGAATCTAGAATGCAGCACATATGGCGTTCTGCTTTACACCAATTGAATCTGAATCAGTTGATACAAGAGGGAAGAGTAGTCCAGATTATATGGAACATCTGGAACATCTAAGGATTATAGTTGCGTGGGTAAATCTGAACACCCAGACTTTCCGGATGTGGCGTATCTCAGCTCTCTCCGGACTGTTAGCAGGTCATAATCTTGGCGGACTTTGCATGGTTGAATGAGCTCGAAGTGCGGGAAGTACTGCTCACAGGTTTCGCATGGATTCTAGAAAGTTGATAATCAATATCTGCAGATGGCAGGTCTTTAGTAGTCAGTCGAATTACTGCATTCGAGCAACACTAGTAAATCACAAAGTTAAGAACACGTAGCCCTGCTAGCCTGAGCGCGCCTATTATGATTCGTCGCAGGGGTCCATGGCATGATCAAAGTCCCAGCATCGGCATTAACATCAGCAAATGATCGATCAGATCGCAAGCCCTTGTGCACGGCATTGCGACACAAATGTCTCCCCTTATGCACCGTGCTCGGAGTTATCCCAGCAGCCAGCTCCGAGCCGAAGCCTCACCAGGGACAGATGCTCGCCCCTAAACCCACTCTTAATCTATCTTCTATTGCCATACCAGTTCTTGCATTAGATCGGTTACACCATCCCATGCCCCCACAGCACCGCATACGCCGGTCGATGGCGATTGCACGTGGCGACTGGAGACCCGGGACCCAGTTATGCGAAGCCGGGCATGGAGCTAGCATTGAGCTAGCATTGAGCTTGTCTTGACGCCAGTCTGTCGATCTGGAAGTCATCTTGAAACTAGCTATGGCTCGTGACAGGCAGGTGGTCTCACTTCCACATGATGTAGAAGGTTGGACCCTCGTGGCGGATCGGCCGGATGCGATTGAGTTTATGTCCGTATAAAAGGTTTTCTGCGAGCGGAATTACGCTTATCAAAAAGATTAGATCTCAAGGTAGGCTGGCCAATAGCTAGCCTGACATAAGTTGGTCTCACTTTCGTGCTGGACTACTGTGGGCGGATAGGGTAGATGTCTTGGTGGGCGGTGGCGGCTGCGGACGACACTGGTCCAAACGAAAGGTTATATTGCTGAGAAAGTTCGAATTATGCTGTGCCTGACCTCATGGAGACCTTACAGGGATACGATCATATGTATGTTATTAAGCCAGCCTTCACGACCGCTTGAGCCGATCTTCGCACCACCCTCTTTCTAATCCTGTAAACAAGCACGTGAGTTTAAAAGTCATTCCATTTTTATATCAGAAAGTCATAAGCTAATTTTCCCCAGGTATTATATTAATGTCATGAATAATTACTCCGCATGATGCCTCAGATGCTCTTTGATCTCCCGCACGATCCGACACAACTGCCGCCCCTTGGCCCCGCGCTGCGATGGATAACTCCGATCGAGGATTGTGTCCAGGAGCGCAGCGGGGACATGCCCTTCTGCACGGTCGCGAATAGCATGTAGTCGCTCTTCAATCTGGTTGAGCATGTGCGTGCTCACCTGCAGTAGGATGCAGATCTGCAGGTCGCGTGTGCTGCTGCCGACCTCGAGACCGTCAACCTGGAGGTTGGGCAGGGTCGGCAGGAAGTTTGAGCCCGTCGGGTTGGCAGCCACTGAATCGCGGATAAAGGAGAAGACGCCCTCGTAAAGCTGGATTAAGCTGGTGTAGCCGGTAAGGAAGAGGAGGGTGAGGGTGGTTTCGAGTTGGAAGGAAATAGCAGGGGAGGTGTTGGGGGCGGAGGTGGAGGAGGATTGGGAGTTCCCGGATATAGAGGCAGCAGAGGAGGAGGATGAGGAGGCGCGAGAAGAGGAACGGGAGGCTGAGCCCGGTGCAGGCCCTGAAAGAGCTGGGAGAGGATTCCCTGCCAAGGGTGAAGGTGAAGAAGGGGCATGGGGCCCAGTGGTGTTAAGGTTCAGCGTGGTGGCGGTCTCATCAGCGGTGCTGGTAGTCGTGGGCTCGGTACATCCCGGGTGGAACAGAGTGCCGCGGCATCGCTCCAACTGCTTGAGAATATCCAGCAGCTCCTTGGAGCTGTGGAACATCTTTCCGATCAGGTAGTTCTGGCCACCCTGGCGACCCTTCTCGACCTCCAGATACGTCGAGCGAGAGGCTTGCGAGAACAGCAAAGTTCCAGCCACTTTGCCCGAGTTGACCAGCCCGACGTCCTGCAGCAGACTGCGGTTCAACTCGCCCATTCGTGCAATGCATTCGTTCTTGATGCTCATAATGTCCATCTCGCGATGGGGCGTCTCAAACCCGTTTACCCCCCGAGAAGACTGCAATGAGGACCGGAACTGGGTCCTTCCTGCAGATCCGTGGTAGTTGCCCCCCACAGGGGTTCCCTCGCCGTGATCTTGGGGTAGATGAGTGAAAGGGTCCATCCATGCCGACCGATTGTTGTCTTCCGTCATGGGACGAAAGTAGTCGAAGAAGTCCGAGCCCCCGGAGGGAGAGTGTGGGGTGAGTGCGGCGCCGAACCCAAACCCACGGCTGGCACTCAGATCTGGCAGCTGGTCAATGGAGTCCAGCAACGGTGTCCCGTCCGTATCCAGCACGCCGTTTGGAGGGAAGTGATCGGAATTGGACAACTGTCGTGGGCGACCGGGCCGCGAGTCCCATGGGTTTGTCATGCTGGGGGAATGTGAGGAACGACGAGGGTTCTGCACACCAGTCATGTCCAGCAGGCTAGGATCCAAGTCTCCCAGATCTGCAGCCGCTGCTGCTGCTGCCACGGTGGGTTGCCCCGCTACGGTGGCCGCATGATGATCATAGTTGGACTCGGTGTGATGCAGGGAGGGAAGTGAAGACAAGGGTTTCGTCCGATGCGGTTGTGACATGGTGGTCACACAGCGAACATGGGCTTTGAGGCAACGCCGACAGGGAGTCGCACTCGAGTTGGAAACTGGCCGCTCACAGCGCAGTTTCTGGCCCCGACAGCGATCGCAGGCAGATCGGCGGGGGACTGCTCGGCCATCACGACAGATGGTTCGGCCTCATTCATGACAGTCGGATAGTCCGGGGGTAGGTAAGTCATTCCGACTGGGATTGAAGATCAACAGCAGCAGCAGTAGTTGGTATGCACCCCGATCATCCACGTGGAGATGCTGGTAGGTCTTTATAGACCGCTCTATCACCCCTCAGGGTAGGATGTCTCTGGTAGGAGGATCGTTTCCTGTCCCCACCTCAGTGGAAACCAGCCCCGCGGAGCTGCAGTTCTCTGCAGGAATGGATCTAGGAATGGACTCGGATTACTGCTCCCTCCTTCATGCGTCTCAGCCTTTTCATTCGGGGGTGGTGGATTCCGCAGGCGGAGCGTCGAATAACGAATCACTAGCCAGGCCGAGAAAGTCTTAGGGCGGCAACAGCCGAAGCAGCAGAGAATGTACTGAGAAGACCAGAAACATCAGCCGACACGTAAGATGGGATGGATGATGGATGGGTGAGCAACTAAGCATGCATACTAGATCCTGGAGCCGGAGCCAGGTGGAGGCGAGCTCAGGCCCGATCGCGAAACTACGACAGCCAGATAACAGTACGAAGTGCCTTAACCGGAAAAAGCATAAGTCGGTCTTGGGTTACATTCGATAGGCTCTTCTTCAGGTTGGTCTGACAAGGAGACTGGTCACATTGCTTAACGAGCGTCATGTTTGTCATCGCGAGGGAAGCAGTTTGCTGCTGATGCCGGGTATTATCAAGCATCAAGTATGGTGTGAAAGAGACCCTTGTCCCCCTCTTTCCCTTCTCTCCCTGTCGCTTCTTGTTAAGGCATCCAATGACTGGGATTGGGATGAAACCACCGAAGATTTGGCTATTGGGCATTTTAGTTCATCCATTTATTAGTCAGATAGATGTGTCAGTCTTGAGTTGGTTTCTGTAACTAAGGTGAGGCCCACTTGGTTGGACTCATTCTCCCACAGCCCTAACTAACCCCAACTCTCCCCAACTAAACCCCAACGCCCGTCTTCAACCGTCTCGCTGTGAAACTAAGAATCGCCGGGACACGTGGCCCGATATCATCTCATTATCAGCAATCTCACTGCGTACTTAGTGCTTGTATATCACTAGATGACAGCCATTAGTCCCAGTCCTTTGCCGTGACTAGTGCAGGCTGCGGGCTGTAGCAACTGTAAATCACTCAATCATTTCAACTTTCTCCACCAACTAACTCAACTAACTCAACTAACTCAACTAACTCAACTAACTCAAATAACTTATCAGCTCAGCACTTAACACCACTAAAACCACTAACAACGCTAATTACCTTATGTCTCAAATTCTCAATGGCCCAGACCACTTTTGGCCCCCGAATGCTCGTGCTCCTTGTCCGAATCTGCAAATTCGGATCTCCGACTACGGTACGAAGCCGGTGCCCCGGATTACCTTCTCCACTCAATCGGACTCCTCCAGCCTCCAGGATCGTTGGCATGGCAATTCCGCCCCCCTATTCTAATCCCCTTTCGACTAAGAGGCTCCGACATGCTCCACTGGCTCTGGTCTGTCTCGAGACTCGACATTTGCCAAGAGCGCGGTGAGTGCAGAGAGATTATCCGACCATTTATCCTATTTGAGCCTCCATCCTGCCCACAGCCCTCCCAACAATAACCATATAGAACCCTCTCAGCAGTCTTGCCTCCTGATTCTCTGCCGCTCAGTGACCATGGCCAACAATCAGGGTTCCATCGTCAAGGACGTCGACCTGGCCAATCCTCCGGCGGACAGTGTCTCGGAACTGAGCTGGTCGCCCGTCGCCAACCATCTGGCGGTGGCCTCCTGGGACCAAACGGTGCGCATCTACGACGTGTCGCAGTCAGTGAAGGGGGAAGGGAAAGCACTGTTCAACTTCCCTGCCCCGGTCCTGAGCTGCGCCTTCTCGCCTGATGGGGCCAAGGTGTTGGGAGGAGCCGCCGACGGGTCCGCACGACTGATGGACCTGGCTGCAGGGACTGAGGCGCAGCAGGTTGCAGCCCACGAGGCTCCCGTTCGCTGCGTTCGCTTCTTCGGGAATCCTGGCATGCGTGACCCCATTGCCGTGACCGGCTCGTGGGATCAAACGGTCAAGTATTGGGATCTGCGCCAGGATCGACCCCTGGCGACCCTCCAATGCCAGGAGCGAGTCTACTCGATGGATCTCTGTCAGAACCTTCTTGTCGTGGCCACCGCCGGACGCCACATGCATATCGTGCAGCTGAACAACCCGGGCCAAATCTACAAAACGGTGATCAGTCCCTTGAAGCATCAGACACGCACCGTCACTTGCATCCCTGATGCGTCGGGGTTTGCCATCGGGAGCATCGAGGGTCGCACCGGCTTCCACTACGTCGACGAGAGCAATTCCAGGTGAGCTGCTGTCTGTGTCCAGGTCGAGAAAGAGAATTGTACGCTAACAATGGTGATTGCAGTCTGAACTTCACCTTCCGCTGCCATCGGGACATGTCTGCTGGGAAAAACGCGCAGAATGTGTACGCGGTGAATGCGATCTCTTTCCATCCCAAGTACTACACCTTCAGCACGGCCGGTGCCGACGGGACTTTTGCCTTCTGGGACAAGGACGCCCACCACCGTCTGAAGCCATTCCCCAGTGTCGGCGCCCCAATCACCTCGACGGGCTTCAACCATGACGGTAGTATTTTTGCCTACGCCGTGAGCTACGACTGGAGCAAGGGCTTCCGGTACAACACCCCCGAACATCCCACGCGGGTGGTCCTCCACCCCGTCGACGACGCCGAATGCAAGCCCAAGACCGCCGTCAAACGATAAGCACCGATCCGCCAACAAACCCAAGAAGAAGAAAAAAAACTATAATGATCTGATTGCCAAGATCGGTGTCTCAATGCTTCAATTTACTACATATGCAACCAAGCGTTCACAACTGCAAAACCTTGGACACCACCTCCTCTGCACTCTCATTCTTCACCCCCAGCAAGGGGGAATCCGACGCCTCCCACGACGGAGCCATGACACAGCGGGCCTGTCCTTCATCGTACATCTGCGCCACCACCAATTCCAACACCCAGCCGCCCATACCGGCCTGGAACTTGCGCTGTCCGCTCTCGATCAGGGTCTGCGCGGAGGCGCGCTGGACTGGCCATTGCCGACCCGTGACGCGCTGGAAGGCCTCCAGCAGCTCGGTTTGGTCGGTGATCAGCGACATGACCTTGACGAACCGGTTGGCGGTTTCATCGGGGTGCTGCAGGACTCCGACGACCGACTGCCCGATGCCTGCGAGGGTGGTGGCGGTGAATTTCTCCGTGCCAGAGTCATAGATGATGGCCGAGGAGCGGGCGATGTCGAAGCCCATCTGCGGGAACCGCTTCATGGCCTACACCGGAGTCAGTATGACAGATTCCCATCCTCGGATTCACACCCCGAGAGAAACAAAAACACAAGGCAGCCCTTACCCAATCAATCGGATTTCCCGAGGTGATGCCCGTGAACGTGAAGTTGGGATTGGCTTCGGCCTTCGCCCTGGCGAGTTCCCAACCAGCGCGACGATGGGCGTGAATGGCGCGGAATTCGGGGAAATTGCGAAATTCGGGGCCCCAGCCAAAGTCGTCGACGATGAATCGCTTGACGCCCGCGGCTTCGGCGGCCTCGATCATGGTGACCTGCGCGCCGATGCCACCGGGGCCGACCACGCAGATGGCGGCATCCTGGCCGGCGAGGGCTGTGGTCAGGTGTTCAAGGGTGTAGCTGGTTCGAATGACGGGCAGGCCAGCGGGGAAAGTCGAGGAAGATTCGGTACGGGTGATGATGGTGATGTCGAAGCCGGCGCGTTGGAGGGCGGCGGTGATGGGAGTGCCAAAGTTGCCCGATGCCCGTGCGGGGGTCAGTTTGCAGCCAGGGGAGGGGTAAAAGACATTGGACATACCCCGAAGATGGCCACTTTCTGGATCGTGATGGTCATGGTGATAATGCTTTAATTGATAGTGTTGTCTTGGTGGTCGGGATGGCGGGGTGAGTTAGGGTTCAATCAATTAATTTGATGAGGGGGGGAAAAGAGAAACACCACCATTAAGGCAAGTTATAGCGGGGATGGCGTTTGCAACCTGAGGCATGTACTTCTATGGATCAAGATCACATTAGTAATCCAATTCAAGTTCTAAATTAGCTAAATAAGTCAATTAACCTTGAACAAAGAAATCCCCCTTACGAGGCGCTGCTAAGATTGGCCTCGGCCGGTTGCCTGCACCGCTCGGATCCAACTTAACTTTAGGCGGCGACGCGGTTGGTTTTAGGCAAATGAAAGGGAGTCAATGATACTAAGTCATTTACTAGTCAATACCAAAGTAGATCTGATCGAGTTAGTGTCTGTTAGTGCTGGTTAGTGGGACCTTAGAGGGTGAATTGGCTCGTATCTGGAAATCTGGATCCGACGGCGTACTTTTTAGGCTCGGGACGAGTCCGCCATCGGAGTCCAAAGTGGGTATTTTGTTGTCTGGACTTTGCTCTCTGCACTTTGCTCTCTGGTCTCTGGTCTCTGGTCTCTGGACACTCGACTCGACATCTCGACTTCCCTTTTGCGTAAGGTTTGCGATCCTCTCCATTCTTCCCCACAGCTGAGGCTCAACCGGATATATCCATCAATCAAGTCAATCATCATCAGTCCAGTACCAACAGGCTAGCAGCCCGTCATGATCCTTCGCTTCCCCCACTGCCTGCATGATCCTTCGCTTTCTTTTGCTGGTAATCAATCTCAAGCGACTGGTTAGGATGTGATTGATCTGGATCACTATCCAACGAGTCCGAATCCGAACTCGGGGTGCGATCTCACCTCCGACCGATGCCCCGACCGAAACTACAGTCGTGAACAGTATATGCACCGGAGTTCATACAATCCTCATGCATTTTTTATCTGACATCATACCAGAATGCACAAATAATTCTCCGCACGAGGGCCTCACCATGGGTTGCGGAGAAGAGAGGATTGACTGCTGATGCGACCGTGTTTGATCGCCTCTCGCCTCCAGAAAACACCATCAAGATGTCCACCACGACCACTACCATGCGAGCCTGGACCTACACGCAGTCGGGACTTCCATCGCAAACCGTCGTTCTAGATGAGGAGGCCCCTGCGCCCACAGCAGCCGAGCTCGCGCCCGACGAGCTCCTCATCGCGGTCAACTATGTGGCCATGAACTCAGGGTTCACGACGATGATGCGCTCCCTGCCGCCGCAGCCCTACTCCCTGCCGCATATCTACAACCGCCAGGAGCGCCTGGGGGTCCCCGAGTTCGAATTTTCGGGGCGCATTCTGGCCGTCGGGTCGGCCATCCCCTCGACTCGACCCGACCTTCAGCCCTCCATTCTCGTCCTGGGCTGCTGTGCGGCCAAACGGGTCTTTGTCCAAGGGAAAGGGGCGTTGGCCGAACGGGTCATTGCGCCGGCCGCCCAACTGATCCCCTTGCAGGCCCCAGGCCCTGAACCTACTATCACCACCCAAGAGGATGATCATGAACCCCGAGCCTTGGAGCCAGCACTAGCACCAGCACCGGCACCGGCCACCCTATCCCTCCTGGAAGCCTCCGGCCTCAGCGCCTGCGGCTGCACGGCCGTACAGGTCCTGGACCTGACTAAGTTGATAGCCGGGGACAAGCTGTTCGTGAACGGGGGCAGCACCAGCGTGGGCATGCTAATCATCCAGGTCGCGCGCCACGTACTGGGGCCGACCGGCACGATCGTCGCGTCCGGCACCGACGCTGCGCTGATCCGGTCGATCGGCGCGGACGAGGTCGTCGACTACCAGGCCCAGCACCCCCTGCACGAGTACCTGCGCACCCACCACGCCGACCGGCCCTTCGACGCCATCATCGACTGCGTAGGCGTGACGGAGCTCTACACGCGCTGCGCACCGTATCTTGCGTCTGGCAAACCGTTCATCAACCTGGGCGCCATGACAGCCCGCCCCACATTTTGGGGCCTGCTCTCGTTTGTCTGGAATCAGCATATGGTGCCCCTGTGGCCGGTCGTGCTGGGCGGCGTGCCCCGCCGCTATCAGTTCTATAGTGCCCGACCGAACCGGGAGTCTTTGGGCAGGGTGATGCGCTTGGTGCAGAACGGGGAACTGAAGATGGTGGTGGATTCGGTGTGGGAGATGGCGGACGCGAAGATGGTATGTCTCGCTTCGTGCTTGTTGGTTGCGCTTCCAACTAACTGGGCTTGGGATTAGGCTTATGAGCGGATGGAGAGTCATCGGGCCAAGGGCAAGGTCATTGTTCGCGTGCAGGAGGAGTGAGTTGCTGACGTTGCGCTGCGCTGGTGGGATGTCGGTAGAACGTCTTATCATGACTGGAATCAGATTTGATCACTGTCAAAATACTCCCCAGTGAGGCTCTCGCGAGTCTATTTACAACATGAGCTCCTTTCTACATCGACTTTTCAGAAGAAATGAGTCTAAACTATTTGCAACATATTCACGTACAGACACTAGACATGGCATTAATTGAGTATAAGGACATACTCAAATTCGGAACTACGAACTGGACCTCCTCGCAGCTTAATCCACCGACCCATCCACTTGCTTACAATCGACTTGACCTCATTCATCAGTCCTAGATCCAGCAGTAATTGCGTCGTACTACGAACCGCCGAGTCTAATACTAAAAAGATCTATATATAGATATAATTAATATACTTTTTAATAAAAATTGTTTTAAATTTTATTTGATAATAGATAGAAAAATATAATTCTTATTATCTAACTAACAGATCCGCCCATATCCCCGCCTGATATTAGTAAATTTTTTAATACTAGTAATTGTAGATGCCGGTAAACTATTTTGTTATAATCTTATTATAAACTTTTATTATTATCTATTAGATATATATAATATGCTTCTTTTTACTTAGTACAGCAGTTGAGTATACTTTTATACTAAAAATATATAAAGCTAGAATAATATTAGGATCGCTGCTATTAAGATTATAAAATAGATAGTAGATACTGCTTATTCCGTTTATATCAACCGATTTATAACTACTGTAAATTAGCTTATTAAAATACTTTTAGAATTAAGTTTTATAAAACAGTATTATTTTACAGGCGACGGATTATAATTCAGTATTGAAATAGTATGAATGAATAATAAAAAATATTATAATAGTTTTTAAAATTGTATTATTATTAAAAAGTACGGCTATAACTATTATAGATAACCCCTGGAACTATAGCAGATTATTAACAGTCTATCTATATATTCTTTATATAACAGTTGTGATATTAATAACTCTAATCTTTTTTAACATTTAACTTCTAAAATCTTATTAAATTTTTAGAATAATAAGAATTAGTCTTAAAATTTAATAAACTACTACTATTCTTATTACTGAATGGATGGATTGTGCTAATTGAAATATGTCTTAAAATAAAAAGAAATAGTTAGAAAGCTATTTTATCTATTTATATAAAAATTTTTTATATATATATTAAGCTAATACTAGTTTGATATATAGCATACAAAATCTCAGATACTAACTAATATTTAAAACTAAATTCTATATAGAGTGGCTAACGGCCAGGTCAGGTCAGGTTAATTGAAATTTTTATACCTAACCGCCAGGTTATGGCCAGATTAAGAAAATTTTTATATCTAACTGTAGTATAGCTAAAAATCGGATGATTAATTATTTTAATTATTCTTAGTATTAAGATCTATCTGTTATATTTTTTTTAGCTTTAATATAATTAAAATATATTTAGATTAATAGATTATTAATCTGACTATTTTAACCGTTGCCTAAAAGTATATAAAAAAAAGCTTTTTAGATTAAATAAAAGTAAGTAAATAAAATATTACTATCTTTTTTATTTTTATTCTTAGAAAATAATAAGAAATTTTTAGTAGTACTGATAAATTCCAGCTTTTTATAAAATTATTGCTTTTATAGTAAGAAATATATATAAAAATATATAATTATAGTTCTGTTTGGTAGAGTGGCTTAACCTGACTGTTATATCTTAATCTTAACCTAGCCATAATCTGACGGTTAGATTAAAATATAAAAAATTTTTAACCGTACAGTTAAAATTAGATTAAAATATAACTATTACTTTAACTATTTATATCTGCAGATTAGAAAGATTAAATATAATAAATAAGTTAATAACTACAGATTAATTTATAATATATATTTCTTTTATATAAATAATATATAAAGTATAATATATTTTTAATTATAGTATAATAATATTTTCTAATTTTAATTTATTTATTTATTTATTTTATCTGCTCTATTTATTCTATCTGTTTTATCTATTCTATTTATTTT